TAACTCTCAGGGTTATGCGCAGCCGACTGAAGCCCACTCCATCGTCACATTGTGACGGACGGATGCCAGCAAAAAAAAAAAATTTTTTTGTAAATAACATAATATCTATAATACAAATAGTAAATTCTCAAATTAGTTCACTCCATGCTTGTCTCGATAGCATTCTTTAGAAAAAATTAGAACATAATCAACCTTGGTAGGCCGCTATATGTTTCATTGGTGACACAACAGAAAGGAGGGAGGGGTTAGTCTGCAAGCCACAGCTTGTGGTAAACAAAAACTAGGTCAACACACAGGCTATAACAAGTCAATTCAAGTATGTTTCTATAACTGTGCAAACAAATGAGACTCATACAAACACTTGTATATAAATTGCTATTCAAAGAAGGCAACCTTTTAATATAAAGAGTAACTGATATTATCTCTATTACAGATGCTAAAATCATAAATCTGTTTGAATTGGAAAAATTATTATTGGGATTTGTCCATCTTTATTATTGGGATTTGTCCATCTACAAGAGATGATGTTGTAACTTCCCATCTGCACCTAAAATGGCTCAAGAGTCCAAACCTGAAGTGACTTGCAGCAGGTGATGGTCAAGTTTGGTTTTGCCTTTCTGGTGGCTCTTTTAAAGGAAGATTTGCATCTAGCATCATTCCTGCACCTTAAACTTCCTGTTTGAAAGTAGTTCACCAAGAGAGCAGACCCTCCATTCAATGACGGACGTATTGCTGGTAGTCTGTAAAACTGTCTTCCACACATGCTTGTTGCCTGCAGAAACAGTCATCTAGTGCATGGTGCACTCTCTGCAAGTAGGACCGTGGCAATTTGGCCTGGGTCCAGCTATTCATTTGAGTCCAGTCTCTTGACATGGGCAAGCCAGGAAAAGCATCTCTCCCTCAGATGGGAGTCTAACCCTCTTTTAATTAGTTAATCAGAGGGGAGATCATGCTGCACAAGCTGAAACATTGTAGCACCCCTGTATTTGCTAAGCTGTTCTGCCACTGAACGGGGCTCGGACATCTTCTGTAAAAAAGCTCCTGTTTCTTTCTTTTGTACGTGTGCCATTGTTCACTTCCATAGAAGAGTTTAATGAGCACGCCTGCTTCATGGTGGAACAGTTTGTTCCTCTGTGGCAGACAGTCTAGTTCCGTTCGCTACAGATTGCGTCATTCTGTCTTTCACTTCTTTATCAATGGTGTTGGAGATGGAGAATTTTCAACCATTGCCAGGTTGCACATTTCAGTGGCCATTGTAGTAAGGGTGTCTGCTCCTTGCAACATGATACTGTCTTCAGGCTGATGGTCAGTCCAAACTGCTTGCATGAAATAGAGGGGCAACCTGGAAGCTTCCTGATGTTGTGCAATCAAAGTACACAGCTCTATGAATGGAATGTAATGATGACAGGTGTTGAGGGAATGAGCCAGTTTTCTTCTGGAACTTGGAAATTCTTCTCTAGCTGAACAACTCAAAGGACTTTATGTTGTTATCAGATCTATGAAAGCTAGGCAGTTGAGCATCAACTTTGTTATCAGATCTATGAAAGCTAGGCAGTTGAGCATCAACTTTGTTATCAGATCTATGAAAGCTAGTTAGTTGAGCTTCAACTTTGTTATCAGATCTATGAAAGCTAGGCAGTTGAGCATCAACTTTGTTATCAGATCTATGAAAGCTAGTTATTTGAGCATCAACTTGTTATCAGATCTATGAAAACTAGTTAGTTGAGCATCAACTTTGTTATCAGATCTATGAAAGCTAGTTAGTTGAGCATCAACTTTGTTATCAGATCTATGAAAGCTAGTTAGTTGAGCATCAACTTTGTTATCAGATCTATGAAAGCTAGTTAGTTTAGCATCAACTTTGTTATCAGATCTATGAAAGCTAGTTAGTTGAGCATCAACTTTGTTATCAGATCTATGAAAGCTAGGTAGTTGAGTATCAACTTTGTTATCAGATCTATGAAAGCTAGGTAGTTGAGCATCAACTTTGTTACCAGATCTATGAAAGCTAGGTAGTTGAGCATCAACTTTGTTATCAGATATTTACAACATTTATTTATTAAAGATTGTCCAAACTGTCCATTAAGTTCTAGCGTATTTCTTGTTAGATTGTCCAAACTGTCCATTAAGTTTTAGCGTATTTCTCGTTAGATTTCAACATTGAATTATTTGTTTTTGTCCAGTGATGCCGGACACCGGCTTCATCCCCTGGCAGGTCAAGGGGTCAATCTTGGCTTTGGGGATGTTCAATGTCTCAATGAAATATTGACCAAGTCCGTACAAAATGGAGCAGATCTGGGTAAGTATTTGTGTAAATTTTGAAACTTTTCATGTTTGAGAATTTTACCAATGGTAAATAATGTCATAGGTTAATTTGTTAATGAAATTTTAGTCTGAAATATTAATCGGTAGCAAAATATATGGACAGGTTCTCTGACACATCTCTTGGAATATGAAACTGAGAGGCAGAGACACAACGTCCCGGTGATGCTCACAATAGATGCTCTTCAACGGCTTTACTCCACTGACGTGACACCGTTGGTGATGCTGCGAAGTTTAGGCCTACACACAGTGCACTCTATTCCACTCTTGAAGGTACAGATGCATATAATAATTAATACTTTGTAAAGTAGAGAATTTGGCACAATTTATGTATATACCACTTCTTGATCTAGTATTTTAATAGTGAAAATTGGAGCATTTCATGCAGCATTTGTTACTTATGAAATAACTTGGAAACATTAAGTCATTCATTCAATAGTACAGAATGAACACAAAAAGGACCTTATTAATTTTAACTCTATTTTCTCCCCAGAAACTTATTGTGGACCGTGCGTCCGTTTGATCGTGCATCCATTTGATCGTGCATCCGTTCGATGTTAAATCCAGGGAGATGTTTTTATTGACAAGCTGTTGAGTAATGATCACATTGGACGAGTTTTGGTCAAAAGTATCCCTGCCTGCCGTCTTGCTCAAAATAAAGAAAGTGAATAGGCGCAGGAGTTTTTGTAATATTTGATAACAAGTTGTGTCTTGACTCATCTTGATGATGACATTCTTAGTGCACTACATGTCAACACAACTGAACACTCGTCTTTTTTACTTTTATACCTGATCAATTTAGTTGGGTTGTTTTTTTTTCAAATCCTTTTTTTTTATGGTGGAGGCACTTACTGCAAATATTATGAAAGTTTAATTTATGCAGATGTTTTCTTTCAAAATAAGTATCAATTTTATTTGTAACTAATTTTTAGGAAATATGGAGTTAATGAATAAATCATGACATTAAAAAAACTAAAAGTGACTGAATTGTTTGAATCATTTTGAATCTTTTTGAATTTGATGTCTGTGGCAATAACCAGATTTGAATCTGTTTGAATTTGACATCTGTGGCAATAACCAGATTTGAATCTGTTTGAATTTGATGTCTGTGGCAATAACCAGATTTGAATCTGTTTGAATTTTACTTCTGTGGCAACAACCAGATTTGAATCTGTTTGAATTTGATGTCTGTGGCAATAACCAGATTTGAATCTGTTTAAATTTGACATCTGTGGCAATAACCAGATTTGAATCTGTTTGAATTTGATGTCTGTGGCAATAACCAGATTTGAATCTGTTTCAATTTGACGTCTGTGGCAATAACCAGATTTGAGTCTGTTTGAATTTGACTTCTGTGGCAATAACCCGATTTGAATCTGTTTGAATTTGACGTCTGTGGCTATAACCAGATTTTTAATCTGTTTGAATTTGACTTCTGTGGCAATAAACAGATTTGAATCTATCAACTGTTTTGAGTCAGTTTGGAAATCAATCAACTGTTTGAGGCTATTTGGAATCAATCAACTGTTTGAGGCTATTTGGAATCTATCAACTTTTTGAGGCAATTTGAAATCTATCAACTGTTTGAGGCAATTCATACATTTTCAATGGTACAGTGTCCATTTAATTTTGCATTAGAATAACTGAATAAAAGCAAAAACATTTTAATATTAAATACTTGCATGTAAACTTAGCTTTTTTTCTCTCTTCTCTTTTGAGCGCAATTTAAAAAACAACAAAAATCCTATTCAAACCTCCTAACTGTATGAACTTAAACTGGTTTTAGTTAATTATCAGACATATATTTCACCTGTTCTTTTTATTAAAAAATCAGGAAAAGAAGCCCCACTTTAGAAAGAAGCCCCTCTACAGAAAGAAGCCCCCTCTATAGAAAGAAGCCACGCTATAGAAAGAAGCCCCACTACACCAAATTGTATTCAAAATATTAAAACTGTCCACCATTGATGTGGTCTTTAAACAATGATAAGAATAACAATTTAAATGAACTTAAAAGTCCTGAACTTAGTTATGACCCAAACATAGCTGCAATATTTGCACAACTTTTAATAATCTGTTGTGACCAGGTTTTCCTGATTGTTTAGAAAGTAAAAGTGAATGATAGCTCAAAAGCACTAACTAAAAATGTTAGCTACTAGGGCAGGTGTTGTCAAAATTATTTAAATTATTGTGGAACGACTGGCTAACCACTATGTGTACAACACACCCCCCCCCCTATTTAGAATATGTAACTGCGTGTTAAAATAGGAGGTGTCCAATATCAAACTTACGTTTTATTTAACTACAAGGTATCAATTTAAGACCTGGCGCAGCTTCTCGGAAACAACCCAAGAAAGAATAGTGATCTGGGAGGATTTGATATTTGGAACATAGCAGTACCGCAACTGTGTGGCAAGACCATAGATCAGAACTTACTGGAACAAATGCAGTCCATGGGCTATGTGTTGAACTGCCCTGAACCTGGACTTAGAATCTTAGAAATGGCTCTTTCCTGAAAGAACTTAAGTGTAACCCATGGGAGTTTTCTTTTTGAATATGTTGTACTTTGTCATCACTGTCTTATTACTGATTCAATATTTGGAGGCGCCCTCCATCTCACACCCATTCCTCACCTCCACAAATGAAAAATATCAAGTCCAGCTGTTACACAACAATTTATTGTCCTACTCGCAGTAAATAAACATATAATATCCAATGGTGGCTCCTTCAAAATACAAGAATCATTTTCTTAAGTAAGCAATACTTCATTCACAATCTTTCACTTTTAACAAACGTGGATGCACCTTGCTTTTTCTCTTCTCTCATTCTAAGTCTCGTCTCTCTCTCAATTCTCAAAAATATCTCCCAATTACCGAGAATTTACATTAATTAAAGAAAAATTCCTAAGATCATCCTTGCTGTCCAACAAAACTATAAGTACAGTTGTGTTAAGATCTTTCATGAATTCACTAATAAGTAAGTTGTGTAAGATCTTTCATGAACTCAGTAAGTTGTGTTAAGATCTTTCATGAATTCACTAATAAGTAAGTTGTGTAAGATCTTTCGTGATTTATCTAATGTAGAAAAAATAAAAAACTTCATTCTTTACCAAAAGGCATGCATTTAAAAAAATGCATATACAAAAAATTACTGGATTGGTGGCTCTTAAGTACGAGGGGAAAACCCCACTCTTGAAAAAGATAGCAGCAAGTAAAAAGTTTGGGATGTGACACTGATCCAAAGTATGTTTTTTTAAACAAGTATATTCAGATAAAATCAAATGGTCTGATGTTAACTCATTTTAAGTAAAGTACTGATTAAAGAAAACAAAATTGATTTAATATTTTAAAATCATAGGCTTCATTTTTTAAAAATCTTGATATTAAAAATCTGATCCTAGTGATTATATTATATTTGTCTCACCTCTGATGTGAAATAGATTGATCATTAAGTCCATCAGAAGGATTGCCCTGAATAGCTTGCAAGGGTAAATGTGTAAAATGCACTACAGTATCATAACTTTGCTATCAGAAATATAGCACACATTTTTGATAGCAACGAATGTCAGTGTCAGAGAGAACTGTTTGTCATGGCAGGAATAAAATGTTTAGCCTGTGAGTCTGAACATGTGCTTTACTTTTTTTAAAAAGATTTTTAGGTGGAAAAAATTAACACTGATGACATTTAAATATTAGTAGTGCATAACTGTATTATAATGGCTGAGACTTTTAAAACTATGTACAGATAAGATTGAATACCATAGCCCCTTTCAGACTCAAATATCACAAATAAATAAAGAAATATGAATACATAAATAAATATTACTAGTAGAGTATCTGCACAACTGTACATATAAGACTTAAATAAAAACATTTTAATAATTGTCAAAGCTAAATATTGCATTTACACAACACCAGCTTGACTCCTGCTGAACAATTTGTAATAAATGTTTCTTAATGACATGATTAAATGATAAATAACTGGCTTTGCAAAGAAAAAAAAAATTATCTATGTAATAGCAGTGCGATGAAGCAATCTACTTTCAGCCAGAATTTTTCAACCATTTTCTTTTTCTGAGCTCTGCGTTCCTTGCTCTGTGTCTTCTGTCTCCTCTCCTTCTTTCCTGTAGTTATCTAAGGCCTCAGTCAAACATTTTATGCCATCAAGAGCCTAAGTCAACAAACAGTAAATAAATCTCAACATTAAAAATGGGTAGTCTTGTTATCTTTTGTTAGTTAATAACATGATATGAATTGTCTATTTGAATATATTTCAACTTTTGTCTTATTTATTGTTAATGTTTTCTTTCATCAAGGTTTTACAAAAATAATATTTTAGGTATTCAAATATATAAGTTTGCAAACATCATTAAAAAAATAAAATGTTTGTAAATTACATTGGGTTTACCTGTAAACAAATTCCGGGTATCTAAATTAATTAAAATGTAAATTATTATTAATATTTTCAGTTCATAATGGGTTATAAAGATGTTTTGACAACACATAATCCTAAAAATCAATCACTTACCATTTTAGCCAAATTCTCATCTGGCATTTTTGCAACCTCTTCCCACAGTTTGAGACACAGGTCAACGTCACCAGACTTGCATGCCACGTCACCAGCAACCAATAAAAGCGCCTGATTTTCAGGCTCATTGGCTATGACTTCTTTTAAATATGGATACGCTTCCTGATATTGCTTTGACACTCGATAGCAGTCAAAAAGTTTGGTCTTTAGCTCCTAAATAATTGTAATTTTTTTAATCACTTTATTTGTCAGAAAGTAAAGTTCAACAAAGAAAGAACATATTGAGAGTAATTACAAATTTCAGAGCTTACTCGAAGGTTATTTTCTTAATATAGTTTTAAAAATGTTATTGTTTTACTGAAAGTAGTTAAGAATTTAACTACCCTATATTACTGCATATAATGAGGGAAATTTATGGTAAAATATGTTAGTTAAAAATATGGGTTCACAATAAACAACTGCACAAGCTGATGTATATTTTGCTAAAAGAAAGTAATTTAAATAGCACCCATGTGATGGGATATTTGCAAAGTTGTATTGGTATAAAAATATCATAATTTATAGATTTTGATATTTTAAAATAAATATTTCTTTAGTTAATTCGTATTGCATTATCAAAATGTAATGGATCCAGATTATGGTAACAGATCGCATTATACGTCGACATGGCATTTAAGTTTTAAGGGCTCTGTTTCCAACAAAAGGTTAGCTTATGCGATAATGTACGGTAAATAAAATAAAAGCATCTCTTAATAAAACAGAAAGTAGTTCACATCAGTTTTCTCAGCAATACTTAATATAGGCCCTATCACTCACTCTATCTGTTCCCTTTTACTATAATTGATTTTTTCACAAAGTTCAAAAAGAAAATTATTTTGGTTTAATGTGCTGTAATATTTGTCTTACAAAGCCATTAACTACTTCCAAAACATACAATTGAATCTGGGTATTTCTCTAGTCCTGTCTTCAATACCAGCTCAGCAACGTCCAGGTTGTCTGACTTTGTGCACCATTCAGCTCCAACTTTATAGGATGTCCAATTAAATTCAGGGTTCATCTCATCCATTTTCATCACCATGGTTACAAGGCTGTCAAAGTCTTTTGTAGGTATCACATAATTCTGTACAATGTAAGCGGTCAACTCATTGTTTCCTGGCCACCTGTCAAAAAGACAGAAACATTCATATGAAACCTTATTAATATCTTGACTTCGTGATATGAGAAAGTTGCTTTTAGTGTCTTTCAAAAAAATTGTTGCATTATTGATGAGAAAAGTATGTTTACCCATTTATTAATTTCATAATTTTATTAATTCATTTTTCTTTACACAAAATGATTTTAGATTTAATTATTAATCATTAAATAATTCACCTTTTGATGTATTTTTAATTTTTGTAACTCAGGCCTTTTCACCCATCCATTAAATTCACATATCTCGTCTCTGAGACCTCAGTTAAATTTTTGGACATTATGGTCACCCTTCACAAATACAGCCTACTCACCTCCACCTACTTTAAACCTACTGACAGCCACACTATTCACTCTACTCGTCTTCCCACCCAAAATACTGTAAAGACTCCAATCCCTTTTCTCAAACACTTTGTCCCAATCCACTTTGCCAGTCGAAGGATAACTTTTGGGACAAGGCACTTGAGATGATCGAATATTTCTGATGTAGGTCCTACCCGGAGACAGTGTTTTCATTAGCCCTTTAAAGGGTTAAAAATATTAGCCATGCTGATGCCTTCAGGTCTCCTCCGAGTGACAATGGGGACAGGATTAAACTTATTCTCACATACCATCCTCACAATCTTATAGCTAAACACATTTGCCTTAGAAACTGTGCCATCCTCCTCACTGACCATTACACCCACAACATATTCTCTTCCCCGCCTCTCATAGTTTTCAGACGTGATACAAGTCTGCAAGATTTCCTTTTATGAAGTCCCATCAACGCTGCCCCCTAAAACTTTGAGGCCAGGCCGTGAAGACGCAGCCATTGAAACACTTGCCCTTACATCATCCAGACTCAACGCATTCCTTCCCTAAGGAAAATTTTGAGATAAGGGATGGTTTCCTTTGTACTTGCTGCAATGTTGTCAATGCTATTGTTTGCATCTGCTTCCAGATGTTGTATATAGGGGAGACAGGGAGTTGATTCTCTGGCAGATGTACTGTACATCTCTGTAATATTACGTAAGATAAACAGTGTCCCATCTCTAAATACTTCAATAGAAGTGACCACGAGGTAACAGCAGATTTTACAATTAGTGTGATCTTGACCAGTGCAAATACACCCAGCCGGGTGAAGTTGGAAAACAAGCTTATCAAGATTTATGGAACCTTGAAACCACATAAAATGAATGTCATGTTTTCATTCACATGTTGGTCCTTCGCTCAGCCCCTTTGCATCAGGACCAATTGCAGTGGACTTACTTCTCCTCTTTTCTTTCCCTTTTTGCCTGTATTAAATCTCTCCCCTAACTTTGTTCAGTCACAATTCTTTTGCTGCCCTCTCAGATGCTACTTTTTAGCTAAGTGCTATTTTTATTTAATTCTGTATTTCCTGTTGTTTGTTTGCTGATGAAGGCTTCCTGCCGACATGTTCATTGTTTTGTTGTGTTCATTTTTTCAGATTTTCCCATACTTTGTTTTATTCATTTCCTTTTTTGCTAACCTGACTGCAGTCTCTCCCCTTTATTACCATTGAAGATCTGAGAGATAAGATAGTAACTAAAACACCTCAGATTGTTGACACTTCACAATATGTGAAAGATTTCTGAGAACACAGCCTAAACTTTTGACGCACAGCTAGATTCCGAGAAAACAGTGTGCCCAAACTACAACACCTAACTAGTCTTTCTTAACATTTAGTGACTGGACCAACTCTCACAGGAACGAAATTAAACTCCTTCACGTGACATGGCAACCATCGCAAGCAGCTCAACTTTTCAAATAAGTAACCCCTTAACAGTGCCCCAGTCTAATAAGCACTGATCTAGCTCATATGTTGAGGAGGGGAGATTTTACTATGCATGTGTAGTGGGAGTAGTGGGGGTCAATCAAGTGTTTATAAGCAGGGTTAGGGGGGCTACAAAAAAGTATGCTTGCAACAGAAGGGTGTCAAAATTTGACATTTTTTACATATCATATGCACTATGTCCTCAAAATGAGATTTAAACTTACAATTTGTCCAAGGCATAAGCAACAGTTTCTTCTTGAGGCCTCGTAGATGATATTCCACTTAACGCTTCCAACTCTTTAACACAGAGGTCAAGCCAAATGTAAGTGTTGGGCTGCCGTAATTTAGCAGAGTAAATATGACACCGTGAAATATTGGCTGCTTCTTCAAACATTCCTTTATGGATCATGTAGCGAATTATCTCTCTGTGGACTGATGCAGCTCCTTGATCCACAAGTTTTTCTTTTTGAAGCACAGCGACTGTTTATAAAAATGTATTTAAATGACTGTTTAAATGCTCAAACGAGTTAACTTAATTGTAAATTGTTGATATCATAGATCCAGAGTTGTTTTTTGAATGTATATAACCTTTTAGTTCTTTTATGCATCTAAATTACTATTAGAAATTACTATTATATTATATATATTGTATTTAATAATTGTACATCCAACCTGCTCATGAATCAAAACAGCTTTATAATTTATTTATTTTTTCTAACAAAAGATGAATTAATTTAAAACCTTCTAATCTCAGCCCCAAGATGGATTACTATAAAACCTTCTGTCTGCCCCAAGATGAAATAATATAAAACTTTCTAATCTCAGCCCCAAGATGGATTACTATAAAACCTTCTGTCTGCCCCAAGATGAAATAATATAAAACTTTCTAATCTCAGCCCCAAGATGGATTACTATAAAACCTTCTGTCTGCCCCAAGATGAAATAATATAAAACTTTCTAATCTCAGCTCCAAGATGAAAAAATACAACTTACAAACATCCTGAAAGATGGGCAGAGCTTCATCCCATTTGTTCTGACATATGAGATTCAAAACCAGATTTTCTTTGGCTTGCCACATTTCATTTTGTTCAGGCTTGACTTCATTCAGCTATGAAAAATACAATGTGAACAATTTGTTGATTTTTGTATGCGATTTTTTTCTTTCTAATACAGTGTCTGATTTGAATAGCATAAATTGCACTGTATAAAAGATCTAAAATAGTTAATCTCAAATATATATATATATAGATATAACTTTTATATATATGTTTGTGTCTAACTATTTTTATGACAAGCATTCAATTCGTTGCTGCCTAATGCAAGAAACAATTTTTCCTTTACAAAATATTAAACCAATAGGACTATCGTCTTGAAGATTTGATCAAGAGAAGTTAACCATCAGTCCTGTATGCAAGCCATCTGTATACCTGATATTTACCTCAGGTTAAGTTTCCAAACTGAAGATTCTATGGAAAGTATTCTTCATTTAATATTCATTTAACATTGTAGAAATATATATTTGAATTGGAAAATAATGTAAAATTCTCATTTTTAAAATAATCTTTACACTAAAAAATGTATGTAAAGAGTGAAAAGTAATGGGTTAGTGTTTAACATAAGAAAGTATGTACACATTAAAAAAAATTGAAACTATAAAAACTTTCAATAGATTACCTCTAATATCTCGATAGCTTTTCTTGTATACTCTTCTGCTTTTGGATAATTTTTGCGATAGAATTCAAGGGAGCCAAGATTAGTATAGCATGTTGCAATGACCTCATGATTCAAGCCAACAGCTTTGGCTTTGACTGTTAAAGACCTGTAATAAAGTTTAAAGATAATGACATTCAATAATTAACTATTAAACAACCCCTGAAAAGAAAAAGTTTTCGTATAAATCCTTTATATAATGTCGAGCGGGGGGGGGGGGGGGGGGGGGGGAAAAATTTGAAAAAAAATAAAAAAAAAGCTGAAAATTTGACAAAACATGCATAAAAATAGCGCACTTTATAAGAATCCCAATTAGTGCATCCCCCAACCCCTCACAACTGCAAATGTTTTTCACACATCTTAACTAATTAATATTCTAATGACCCACTTTCTTTTACACTGCAGATTTATTTACCAACTATTTCAGAAAAACGAAAGAAAATATTACACACCAAACGCACTTTTGAAAAAACTGATTTTTGTGGGTTGAGGGACGTGGGGCTTAAAATTTGATAGAATGTGTTGTCATCAGCAACAAGTCTATGTGCCAAGTTTCAGTTCAATAAATTGACGGAAAGTGGGTGAATTAGCCGTTTGAAGATTTTGCCAGCCAGGAACACAAGCAAAGTTAATATAACGGCTTTTAAAAAGAAAAAAGCTTCTTTTTATCTCTCCTTTTGTCTTCCAATATATTTATATATATTACAATGTCAATTCCAAACTTGTGGACTGGAATTCAATCCCTGTAAAAGCCCAGACAAGCAAAAATATAGTAACTACCAGGATGGATGAGGCTCATTTACCTTGGATGGCAACTCATCTAAGAGAAGTAAAACTCTAAATTCACACCCATGGTTGGAGTCCCTAAGTCAGTATGACATTAACTTAAACCTCTTGAGATGGAGCCCTTTTCACAACACCTGAACTTACTTTGCAAAAAAGTTTTGTTTAAAAATAAACTAATTTACAAACATAAAACTGAATAAAACACAGAATTAAATTTACTAATACAATTTTTATGAATTCTCAACATTATGCAAATGTAATATCCTGATTTGCATAATCTATGCTTGCAATTTTTTTTTTTACACTTAGTATAAACATGTCTTATTTGCAGCATTTTGTTAAATGTTCTGATTGTAGAAGCCTAAACTATTCCTGAGAAATACTTGAATGAGATTCAAAGTGAAAAACTGCAAAAGGGGGGGGGGGGGTGGGGGGGGGTGGGGGTGTGATTATGCCATTTGGAGTATTTTTACAGCCATTTACAGGGGTCACTACCAATGAACGAAATAGTGAGATATGCAAGAAATGCGATAATCAATCTGATTGGCTGGTACAAAGACCAGCCAGCCAATCACTAGGCTTTTCTTATTGAGGCGAATGGATCGACTTTCATCTTTATCATCATTTGAATCTGGGCAGACAGATCGGGCCAGCTATCTCAAGAGGGTCAATGAAATCTCTGGCAACTCCTGCTATGTTACTGATGCTAAGATATATCATTCACATACAATATTCCCTTGGGTTCCCCAGATGCCTGGAGAGAGGTGATTTGCTTTGCAGGAAACCAGCTCATCCGCCTAAAGAAAATTCCCAGGCCTTGCGATTTCATCCCGGAAAGTCTACACCATCTTCACAATGTGACAGATGCCCACTAACAATTAAATGCAATTTCCTGCTTTTAAAATAAGTTTTCTTTTATAACACCAATTTACCTCTGATACATGTTTTCGGCTTTGTCTATATCATTCATTCGTCTATAACACAATCCCATGTTGGTCAGTAGATTTCCCACTTGCACAGGCAAATGACCAAAGTAAATAGCCTCAAAGGTCTGAAAATTAAATACAATTTATGCTCCAATAACATTTTAAAGAATCAGTTTTTTCATTCTTTATGTATGTTGTCTAATTTCAGTGTCAGTTAAAATAAAAAATTAATAAATTTTCTCATGCTGGGTAGGTAAATTTCTAATTCAAGTTTAATTTTAACCAACATTTTTTGTTCAAAAAGCTGAAATGTTTCTTTTTAAGCAAACCTCCATGGCCTTATTGAAATAATGTTTTTTCTCAAGCAAACCTCCATGGCCTTATTGAAATAATGTATCTTTTTAAGCAAACCTCCATGGCCTTATTGAAATAATGTAATGCAGTTTCAGGTTCTCCATTATCCAGTTTAATGACTCCCAAGTTTTGAATTGCTTCAGCTACACTCAGGTCATTGCCAAGTTCCTTGTGGAGCTCAATAGACTCTTGAAACAAAGGCTCTGCCTTAAATTTTGGAGAATAAAAAGGAATGAAAAAAATTGGTCAATAATATATATAAGAAAAAAAAAATTCCAATAATCTACACCAGTGATTCTTATCTTATTGCTTTAATGCCACGTAAAATACATTGTACCTTTGGTATGATACATTTATACATTCCTAACCCAGCTTTCCTTGACTAAATAGACTAATCAAGAAAGCTAGTAATATCACACAAACTAAATTTCCTTCTCTTGAAGAACTATTTGAAAAAAAAATGCTGTTGTAAAACTAAAACATTTGGACGATACATCCCACCCACTTCATGACAGATACCTAAGATCATCTCAATCAGGGTGAATTCTTTCTCTTAAAGTTAGGACCGAAATATATTTTAAAAATTTAGTTCCCCAGTCTGTACGAATTTACCAGCTTGCTCTCCCAGTGGTTAACAAATCTAAATGATAACTATTTAAGTCATTATTGTCACTAAGGGAGTTCATTTATGTCCATTTTCTATGGTAGAGAAATAATTTAGATGTCTTGTGTTTAAATTGTTTAAATGTTGTCTTCATTAAAAATATATATTTATTTATGTGCTGAAAATGGACATGTACAATGTAATCAAAAACCATTTCCATTTATTTGGATCAATAAAGAATCTTATTTTATCTAGAGTCAAATATTCTGAATTACAAATATTTTTTCATTATTAGTTTAAAACTGTTTCTGTTAATATAATGTAATGCTTTAAACCTATTGTATTCATATTTAAGTGTTACGAGCATGAAATAATAAACTAGCTTGCAAAAGTTGATTTTTAATATAATTTTTAACAGTTATTAAGCTTGCAGTTGTTAAATTATTTAAGATGGAAGCAATAATAATTATTTAAAAGCTGCCTTGGCTCCACTCTCTTACTTTCCACCCTCAAACAGATTCCTAGATCTGCCATCTATCAACAAGCACAATATAATTCAAACATTATTAGAGGGTATCACATCTAGAATGAGTTTGTAATTTACAATAATTACAACTGAATTTACCTCTTGGTAATGTTTTTGTCTTATGTGGAGAACTCCAAGTCCATTACAAGCTTTGGCTAAAGTTAGTTTTGTCCTTTTATCAAAAGCGTTTTGTAATAAACTGAACAATAAAACAAGAAATAGCAGATTATAACAAGCCTGCCTTTAGATTAAACATAATGGAAAATAGCAAGTTATTTCTTAATTTACTTGTTAGTAATTATTAACAGAGTATAAATAAAGTTAAGAAGCTGTTAGATAGCATTGTATTTATGACATGTACTTGCGACATTCTATCATGACAGATTCATGTAGGGGCTGTGCTTTATCATATTCTGTGTTGTCTACATAAGCACATGCCAAATAATATCTGTTGTCTCTGAGCATTGTCAGTCTCACATCTTCAGGAACCTTATCCTTTATTCCTTCCTGCGAGAAAAATTTGATGATATCATAGAAATAGTAATTTATATGGATAAATAAGGTGAAAAAAATATTTTAATTAATTAAACTTAAAACAAAAAATCTATTTTAAATGACAAATTAAAAAAAAAAATGAGCCTGGCTTTTATTTTCAATTTTTAACAAATTTATAAATATTAATATATTTAAATTATTTATATAGACTGCAATGTTTTTATTGATAGTCTATTAAACAATAATCAAAACAAGAGAAATTTAGTAAAATAATTGGCAAAATACAACTTACTAAAATCTTGATGGCCCGTTGTAAAACTTTCACATGTGCTCTGTAATAATTGGCTATTCCAAACATGTCTGCCATTGAATTTATGCATGGCAAAAGCTGTTAGATAAAATACTCTGTGCAGTGAGTGTTCTTAACAAAATATAACTAATAAATAAATCTAAATTGTGTCAACTGGAGATAACTATTAGCACCTATGGCTTTTATTAGAGTCAATTATTCTAGAGTTTTTTTGTTTAAAAAAAATTAATTATTTATAAGAGTGCTGTACAGAGATAAAGCTTTAAAGTAACTGCACTGTCTTTTTCCTGTTTAGTTTTTAAATTTTACTTCCACCCACTTTCTGTCTGCTCATCTGAGCTTTGTTTTCATTGGGGACCTGTTTATTTGATTTTTAGGTAGGATGCGTATAAATATATATTTTATCCAAATTTAATTTATATTTATATGAATTTTTTGTTGTACTCATGAAGGCATTTGCTGAAACGTTTGAATTTGTATTCTGTGCATCAATTATTAACCTTCTGGCGGGCGTGTCTGATCAGATTGATACAAGCTAACCTTTTTTGTATTGCACATGTTAATGAAATCTGAAAGCGAGCTCTGCTTATGAGTAGCTTAATGTTTTCCTTTCCCTTACAGGTCAAGACTGTTTAGAGTGCAGAAAACGCCTCCAGTTTCAGTGTTCAGATTTTGTCTGTTTTGTTCCAATTGATATGCCGCTCCTTTGCATGTTACTTTTTTGTAATTTGACTATTGCATTGTTTACTTGCTCTGGTAGGTTATTTTGTTTATATTTGTATATATACTGATGCATTATCTTATTTTTAACTAATGTATGTGTGTTTTTAAATAGTCAATATCAAATTGCTAAATATCGTTCAACAAGATATTTATATTGATCTTTATTATATTTCAGGTTACTTCCATGGTATTAAATGGAGAGTGGTACAAACATGTTTGATCTTACAAATCTCAAGGATGTAAAGGAAATTATAAAGAATACTTTTTGAAGATGAAGATGTAGAAGAAGGTTTTGAAGATGAGGAGGTTGACACAGAAAGCCAAGATGCAGTTGAAATTCATCAGAATGATTGGCAGTCAGAATAATATGAGGATGATATTGATGATGTAGAAGATACTATTGACAATGATACTTTTTATTGGAAAAGACAGAGAAAAATAATGGAATAAGAATAAACCATATACAGAGTACATTTGAGAAGTAGCAATTTAATTCAAAAAATTTCATGAATTATAGGCCCTGCAAAAATGGCACAAACTCCTCTTAAATGCTGGAGCTGCCTGTTCAGTTATGTACAATACAAATCAATATATTGAAAGCTTCAAGTGAAAAAATTTTAGCAAGAAAGAGATGCTATACCATTTGTGTAGGGAGGAATTTTTCACCATTTACCAAAATTTTTGAATGATAAACATGAATGGCATCATCAAGCCCAAATTATTCCTTTTAGAAATTATCAAAATATTGTCAGCAGAAAAGTGTTTTAAAGAAATGATCCAATGAATAAGTGCTGTCTCAACTAACCTAAAGCAGTAGAAAATCAATTTATAAACTTTATTTGGATCAATAAAAGAATCTTATCTTATCTTATCTTTCTTATCTTAATTTGATGTCCATGTAATGTCTTTGCTTTTATAATCAAAGTACCATCTTTATTTCAATTTTATTTCCAGAATTGTGTACCTATTACTACATGACAGATAAATGTTAATTTCAATCATACATGTGTGTGTTTTTTAAAACTTAATTTTCCATTTTATATCGTAAGTTTATTATCTAATTTAAAAAATAAATTATTTCACAATATTCAAATAAAATAAGCTTATTTAACCAGTCACTAATTAGTGATATCAATTTGATACAGCGCGATCAGTCTTGCTGCAAAAAAAGCGCGCCTGCCGGAAGGTTAAAGATTAACCTACATTGTTACTATATTGTTGTGTCTCATTAAACTTTTTTTAAAAATAAAGAAATTGCCTTACCAAAAAACCAGGTGGTTCCATTTCTGTAACATTATTTTGATCTTGGTATAAGTAGAGTAGATTCACTGACAAATCAAAAGAAGAAATCAGAGAGTTGTAGATTTTTTCCTGGTTGTAACCAGTAGTGCCCCACAGATCAATGAGCTCATAAACACTCTTTCTATTGGAAGATAGGAAAAATCAATTTTAAACATACACAAAATCTTTAACAACTTTTCAAGTTCAAAATGAGAGAATAGCACCATGATATGAATAATTAGACAATAGCACCATGAAATAAATAATAAGAGAATAGTAGCATGATATGAATAATGAGAGAATAGCACCATGATATAAATAATGAGAGAATAGCACCATGATATGAATAGGGAATGTTTATTAATTAATACATATCAAGTAGTTATGTTTTAGAACTAAGATTATATTTTATACATGCACATAAAATTACTAAAGATTGTATTCTGGTATATTAATATTTTTAATAGTTAAATGATATTAAAGTGTAAAATTAAAATGCAATATTATTACATTGTTATATCAATGTTTTTTAGTGAAATCAAGGAAATTATCAATGAAAGTTTTGACTATGCCACAACTCAGTACACACTTCTTTTTGAAAACTAACAACAGTTCACTTTTGATTTAAGCAATCTTACTTTTGCAATATTTGAAACACTCCCATATCACTTAAAGTGATAGCTAGGCCTTGCTTGTCTTCAATTTTTTTCTGCAAGTATGGAAGTTCTTCTGCTACTCGCCTTATTGCCTTGCTGGATAAGTTGGTAGGAGTCATGATAATGCTCTTGAAAAATAAAATGAAATAAGAATTCAAACAAATGATATCTTATTAAAAAAAACTAAAAATACTGATGTTAAAATGTGAACATTTCCACCAACAATTATAAATTAGGATCATAAGAAGAGAAGTTGAAGTTGATAAATATTATTGCGTTAATTTGTTTCTAATTACCTGTCTAATCTTTTCAAAATAGTTTATCAAGTTCTCAATCACGTCAGAGCTAGAAAAGGAAAGTATGTGAAATTAAACTGTACATTCCAATCTATTTTTAATTCATTGTGTAAATCCTATTCATGTTAGATTATGAAACTGATGGTTATAGTAGATGGATTACAAAGTTATCAGAAATATTGTAATTTTGCATTAAGCATATATTTAACGTATAATAAACCTTCGTAATGGAGATTAAAATGATTTGGTCGCTGTCATGATATAAATAAAAATCATAAATTTTTAAAAGGTTTTTGACACAATCTATGTGATAACAGTAACAATGTTTCATGTCTTTAAACAAAAGAGTAAAATACCATTGTTCTTCTGTTTGCAGATATCTTTCTGTTACAGCTTGTTGTAGAGCTGAGAATGCAAACCTTTAAGAAAAATCATGATGGGTTGGATTAAACAAATATTGAGTTTCATTTAGAAATACACATTCAGCTATACAATTCAAATCCCAAGACAATTAGGCCAAATTAATATATTCCTACTTGGATTTTATGATAAGGAATTCTTTTTCCAAATTTAAAAATATTAGATACATAAAAACTATTTTTAAGTAGTCTATGATGTGCATGTCACAAAATGTAATGAAAATTATCAATATTGAAATGGTTGAATTAAATTTTAATAGGTTTATTTTCCTTACAGACACCCCATTACTTGGACCCCGTTTTTTAAATTTTTACTTTAAAAATTATTTTTTTTTTACATACCTTAAAAGACCTTCATGAATAATAAAGAAATTTTCCATTGCAAAATAGAATGGTGACCAACAACTTGAGCTTAAATCAAATATCTCAATGAGCTCTGTTTCTGATAAGCCACTATGGGAAACAGCAAGTGCACTCAAAACCTGAATTAAAAGAAGGCAACCGGTTGTATACAAATGATCCCCATGAAAATGTGCAAGAGTGTGCGGTAAGGAGAACAATAACTAATTAACATGGACTTAAGCTTATCACTTATTATCAAAAGGAAAAAAAAACCTAAGAAATAAAATGCTTTTTTTCCATATTGTGTGTCTTGCGTAACGAGATATAAATTTATCTCCATATATAGCATTTGTGGTTCTAAAGAACAGCCCAATTAAATTACAATAATGTATTTGTATTATAAAAAATCAGTTTTACAACTTCTTAAAATAAGTAAAAATTAATATAAATCTTTAATCATAACTAGATATTAAACTGAGGCACATAAATATCTAATAGATAAATATATCCAATAATTTTCCACCTTTGCAACCAGATTTGGACTATCTTTGCCATTGTAATCTTCTTCAAACCTCTGTAAAACTTTTGACAATAAGTCTTTTACTCTGAAATAATAAAATGCAAAAACACACAGGTCAGAATACATTTCAAGAACCTTTTTTTTTTATGATTCTGAGATCATGAAGTTTTACTAATATATATGAATCAACATCTATAAGCTATATATGTCTACTAAATTATTATCTTGTAAAAAATAAAAATGTGAGAGATTTCATCATAAAAGTATATTTTGTAGCTCAGACTCTAGACTTGTCATGTAGATATTTTAAATATGTTGTCAAATTGCCTACCCATCAGAGTATATAAGGGAATCAATTTTCTTATCCAGCATTCTGAAGTAACCATAGATTGAGATTTCCTGTTTGGATTACAAGAATAATAACTAATGGATGGTCTAAAAGTAAAATTAACATTTAAAGATAAATATAAGTAATATCATACTAAAGAGAGTCTCAGGGTCAAGCTCAATACAGCCCTAACTAATAAAAACTGAATGAACCCCCATTGGTACCTGGCTACCAGACTATGTCATATACAACACAATAACATTAAAAGCCAAAGCAAAATCATTTCTCAGGGATTTTAAACATCATGGATAGGTACTCATTTGTGATAGAAATTTTATTTTAGAACCATTTAAATTCAAATGACAGTTCAATTTATCTTATACTTATATTTATAAAAAAGTTATTAAAAATTCCTAAAAATTAAATTTTCAATTTGAAATCTCATTGGTTCACTCAAAAACTTTCAACAATGTTATCTGCTTTAACTGTTAAATTAACTTACCGATAAAACAATTTTAAGGAACAGTGGATTGCGAGTCTGCTCTGCCTCAACTATCCTCTGAAGTTGATGGGGAGATAATTCTTTACCATTTATCATAAGTGTTTCCTAAAATTAGAAAAAGTAAATTGTCCCCAACAGAATTATTAATGACACATGTTAAAATACTTGTCACTGTAATAAAAGATGTTCAAAAGCTGTAAATAACTGTCTTTGTTCTTATTAAATATTTTATTAAGTTCACACAAAAATAACACAGCTATAATAATTTCTTTAGTTATGTAAAATTAAATCATCACTGCGCCAACTTTTTGATAGTGGAATCAGTCTGGAATTAAAGTTATTCAAAGCATATCAAAATCATTAGCAGAATCTGCACTCTTACATCAGGCCAATTTTAAAAGCCACTAGAAACACTATGAAAGTTGTAGACATTTTTTATAAAAAATTTTTGAATTAGGCTTAAACTAACTTGAGAAGTGTATGATAAGTGCTTAAAATGATTGATGACTGCCATACCTTACAAATGGTCTCAATAACTTCTTGCTGCAATGGATAAATCTCAAGCACATAAAATTGTCTTTGTGTCACTAGAAGATCAATAGTGCTTAGATCGGATTCCTTTGTGGAAACAATAAGTGAGATGCCAGCAGGAAAGCTCTCTGGCAACCAGTACAGGTGCTGTTCAATTATTATTTTAAAACACTTATAAAGTTTCATAAAACATATAATTGGTAATAACTATATCTTATCCATATCAAAATTAATATTTTCAAAAACTCTTAACTTAAGATTAGAAATTATACACAAATAAAGATCCACTCACTTTAAATAACAAAGCAAACAGCTTTTTAAGTCATTATTTTATTTCTAATATTTAATAAACCTGAAATATTTAGACATGAAGACTCAAATTTTAAAAGATTATTAAAATTTAATAATAACCTTTGCTGTTTTTACTGAAGATTTAACCTTTTCTAAACCATCAATTATGATAAGAACATTTTTGCCATCTGAGGAAGCATGCTCCATCTCATTTTTAACACTTAGATAAATGTCATGGAAGTCATTGCTACTCAATTTATTGCCAACTGTTGCATCTTCATTGTCAACATCATTTTCTTTGGACTGAGACCCATTTATATATTGCAGTTCAGACAGTATGCGTTTCAAAATATTTTTTGGTTCTGTGTAAAATATAAAAATGGAATTTTATTATATTTAGAAAAGCAAAGTTTTAAAGTCACATTTAAAAAGTTTAATTTTCAACTTAAAATTGTTTTTGTGGGCATTTTTAATTAAATTTAAAAGCCAATTAAAAAAAAAAAAATTTTTGTAAACAATTACCAATAATTTGTTTTCAAAAGGTTCCTTTTTTATGTTATTAGCCTCTTCTGATAAAAAAATATTTAAAAAAAAACAAATTAGAGTTATAAATACAAATGTTTAATGCCAAATTTTTAGTTTTAGATTCATAAATCATTAAATGAGGAGATATTTTTTTCAAAAATATAAACTTTTAATTGTTTCTATATATATATAGATGATGTACCTGTTGTTCCTTGTGCACATCCCACAAAGTGATAAACTAAATGTGTATCTGTTTTTGATTCTTTATATGTTTTGATAAGATTAGCTAACAGGGCTGATTTACCACAGCCTGCTGGCCCCTTGACAAGAACTTTGGGATGATCTATTTAATTTTAAACAAATATGGTAGAATTATTTTTTTCCTTAGCAATATCAATAAAATTGAAAATTAATTTTTTTCTCCATGAGAAACAAACTAGGTTTCTCTTAAATCTAAATAACTTTTTAATTATTCACTTTCCCTAGATCTAATAGCTCCAATCATCATAAAATGGAATATTTTTAAATGGTTAAAATAAAAATCAACTTCATTAATAATACATAAGTTTTAAAGTAGAAATAACACAAAATCTATATTAATTAATGTATGCAGTTTAGTCTAGCTTTAAAATATTTACCTTTTAATTTCAAAGGCTTCAGTTCATCTGTGTTGATATGTTCTCCATAGTAGAGAGATGTCCTGAATGTCATAAAAGTATTATGGCACAATCTGCTTTGTTCCAGTGGGCTTAAATCTGTGTTATCACTTGCAGCTATGAGATCTTTGCAGCATTGCCAAACACTTTCAAACATGAATTTTGCACCCTGTTATTTCAAATCATTGAAAAATATTTTTTTTGTTGAAAAAATGAAAAGAATTCAAACAATAATCAATTATGTTTCAATAAATAATTGTTTAAATACCATAATTACCTTTTTTGGATTTTTGTAATCAAACAAAACACCAAGACACTGTAAAAGAAAAAAATAGTGATGGATAAATCAATATGAAACTGAAAATTATATTCTAAAAAATTGGTACTCAAGTTCTAGATACTAACTGTTAACTACCAATGAAATGAGTATGTATCCCCATAAATTGTATTGCTTGTTGTTATACTCTGGATATATTGTACAACTATAAATATATTTTCTCACTTCTTAAATATCAAGGGAAAGCTAAAAAAAAATACAACTATGTATTCCCATAATTGGTAAGTAGTAAAAATAAAGAACACACATTATTTTGAATACTTTTTTTAAAAAAGACAGTAAAAACAAAAAAACATGTTGGCTTTAACCTTCATCAGAACATTAAAAAAAAAAGACAACAAGAAAAAGATAGAATGAGAATTCAAATAAAATAAAGTTTATTAAAATATTACCTAGAAGGCAAAAAAATATTACCCATAAAGAAATTTTGTAAGGAACTTTAAATAATGTATGGGATTTTATTATTGATAAACCCCTTCAGACCCTATCATGTTGCACTCTATTTTAAATGAGCTATAAGTATTAAATTGATGCACTGTCTTAAATACAAACACATCCTACATGAAACTCTGTTTCTTTGACTCTTCCCATCAGTTCTCTCATTAATGAACTTGAAAGCTCACTTTCTGCTGAATACTTAAACACACTTTTCAAATCACCCGCAGCTTCAGATTTCCTCTTCATGTAATCATCATACTCCTGCATAAAACATGTTAAACTACTTTCAATATACAAACATAACAACTTTGGGGATAATATAATATACATAATACTATTTAATGTATGTATAATGGATTGGATAGTTTTCATGTCATCTGTGGCACCCCAAGGGTCCATTGGACTAAGGGACGTGATGATGATGATAAATATTTATTTTTTGCAAAAATAACTTCCATGCCAATGCATTGACAATTATTAACTAATGTATGCAATTAAATAATGATATAAAAACAATAGAAATATTGTACCGATACTAAAAATTATATTTAGACCTACTTATTACCTTATCTCTAAAGCTTATAGAAGATGGCAACTCTCCAGGGTGATTAAGATGACCATGTAGAAATTCCAACTCTGTTACACTTTTTCCTCGAACATCAGCTAACCAGGGGTAGCGACCAACTGCATTGTCAAAGTTTCTTTGTAAGAGTTCATCAGACTCCCCATGCCACCCATAACGCTGAATCACAAATTAAAAAATAACTAATTTACAATTAAATAGCACTTTATTAAAACTAAAACAAAAATTTCGGTGAATGGCAATGTGTAAAAAATTAGTTTGAATAGGAATATTTGAAGAAAAATTCTGTTGTAATACTAAATAAAATTTGAATGGTAGGTCTACATCCCACCCTCTTCATCACAGATAGCCCGGTCTGTATTGATTGATTGATTTTTTATTTGATATTTAAAGCGCGCTGGTATCCATGCCATTTTAGCGTGCTCACTACGCTCTGATCCTCCGAAATCTATTGAAACAAAAAAGTTTTAATTGTTTCTTAAATGATTTTTTTATTATTTATAATTCCCCTCAAAGATTGAGACAAACTGTTCCATAATTTTGGCGCTATCGCTTCAAAAGAGCCCACTCTGTATGACTTTTTCTGTGTTTATCCACATTAGGAACACTCAGCAAGTATTGTGTTGAAGACCGCAGGCTCTTCACAGATACATGTTTATAAATCAGTTCCTTGAGATATTCCGGTGCTGAGCCATCTATGCAGCTGTATATATTTTCCAGGGAGATAATACTGGTTAATGAATTTGAACAAACAATTAAAGCCCCCTGTATGAATTTACCAGCTCACTCCCCAAGTGATTACCAAATCTAAATGACCGCTACTTAAGTCATTATTGTCAATATTGGAGGTTTTCTTATGGCTGATATTGAGTCTACGCTAGAAAAATACTTAAGATGAGTTTAAATTTTTATAATTGTAAAATTTTGTCTTGGTTAAAAATATATATTCATTTATGTGCTGAAAATGAATATTTACAATGTAATAAAAAAAACATTTAATTTCCATTTATTTGGAGCAATAATGATTCTTAAAAAATGTATATATTTTCCCGGGAGATAATACTGGTTAATGAATTTTAACAAACAATTAAAGCCCTCTGTTGACAATGTGGTAAAAGTGGAGTTCAGGTGCGTATATTATTTCTTAACGCATTTCGTATTTTATCATGTAAACTTACGTGTATTCTTTATTAATTAAATACAGGCCGTTATAGTTAACTAATAATGAATTTTAAATCGCATTTTTTCTTTTTATTTGATTTCTAAAGAGTCTTTAAACATCCCCCAACCAAAGTTACATAGCCCCATTTGTTTGTTTGTTTTTTGTTTTTTTTCCGGCCTATGGCCAGATTTTTAACCACCTATAAGTTAGTATGCTAAACGAAATTTTCAAACTGTAGGCATGTTCACAAAAAAGAATGAAATTTAGATTTTTCATTGCGCCCCCCTTCCACGCCCCCACTTTCTTTTTTTTCCTCTCAGAGCGAACAAGTAGTCCCTTGAAGTCTTGGGGGGGAGAAGTGGATCACCGACTAAGGCAGCGGACACAGGGCAGCGGACACACACGTCATCATTGTCCTGGAGTGAAGCTGAAAATAGGGAGGGGGGGTGTGTGTTCCACAAATATGTGCCAATGTGCAATGTGTGATCACGTGTCCATTTAAAAAAAAATATTTGTGACGTTGCAGGAATGGGGGAAATCGAATCATTTATTGAAAGTCATCTCATACTGATGGCTCCAAATACATTGTCCGTGATTGGTCAGCTCTAATTTGAGCACCCCTCCCCTTTTTTCTTATGCAAATGCGCTTATTAATGGTGATTGATTTGCGCTGAGTTAAATGAGGGTGAGGGCTAGTGATTATATAGAATGAGACGGACTCTTTTAGCAGTATTGCTGGTAGTGGGATCATTTTGTTCAGAATGGCAGGACGACCAAGAGACAATAAATTGACATTGCTGATCCAACGTAAATTTTAAATTGTGCAGCATTTGGTTTATACGCGAACTTTGTGAGGCAACAAATAAGGCTAATACAACTGTGGAATTTCTCGTGGCTTGTAAACTAGCTACCTATGTCAAGTATGAGAGTTCCCTATAACTACCGGGATCTGGATCTCACCTGAAACGGGATCTCACCAGAACCGGTATCCCACCAGGATCGGGAACCCACTGGATCAGGATCTCACTGGGATCAAGATCCTATCGGGATTGGAAACTCACTGGAAACGGGATCCCACCAGGATCGGTCTCCCCGAGCTCGAGATCCTGTCAGGATCTCACCAAATATGGGATCCCACCGGAATCGGTATCCCACCGGGATCGGGATCTCACCGAGCTCGAGATCCTACTGGGATCGGGATCTCACCGGATTGGGATCTAATTTGGATTAGGATACCACCAAAAACGGGATCTCACGGGATCGTGATCTTGCCGGGATTGGGATCCCACCATGGCAGGGATTCTACCGGGATCGGGATACCGCCATGACCAGAATTTTACCGGAATCGGGATGCCATCGGCAAATGGGAAAAACGAAAGATTTACATAAGTTATTTTAAGTGTTTTTATAGGAGACAAATTAATTATTATTATTTTTTTTTAATATAGTGGCGTTGTTTTATTGTTGAAATTTCCCTTAATAGCAATGTGAATTAAAAGGAAGTTGCAGTTGTTGTTGTTGTTTTTTTTTCTGAATGCAATCCCGGGCAACTCCGGTTATATTTGATAGTTAAGTTATAAAATAAATATAACAACTCTTTTAACCAAGATTCATGCAATTGGGCAACTTTTATAACGTATCTTTAAAGACAGAAGAGTTAATCTTGATTTACCACAATGGCTCCGTAAAAGACAAAAGATTCATGAAAATGCACTTTTTTATCTCGTAAAATTTGTTTAATTGTTGTTGTATTCCAATAAAAAGATGGTATTTTAGTTTTTTACTTTTAAAATACTTTTTATAAAGAATTAACATAAGTTTACACACGAAAATACGAAATTCAAACAGAAATAATATACGCACCTGAACTCCACTTTTACCGACTTTGTTTAAGGTTAAATAAAGTAGTTTAACTTTTCTGCTAAATGTTAATGTTTGTTGTTAGTAGTGAGTAGTGCTAGTTTAAATTTAAAAAAAAAATTCAAAACATGTCAGTCATGGACTGAGGGATATTTGGAATACCTGACCGAAGAAACCAATAAAAACATCAGATCTGTCAATTTCTCTAAGACAAATGTTGATAACTTGAGCATTATCAGCCGCCTCTGATGTAATACCCCAGCGCATATCCACTGGTACGAACTGAATACCGCGGGTATTACATAAATGTTGAAACTGTGGGAAGTACTTCCTGGTCAGCTCCTCGCGTTCTTCTTCCATTCCCCCGAATGGAGAGGAGAAAAATAACCTTAGAGTTCTAGGGTCTTTTAGTTGTCTCTTTTTATTAGCCATAATCACAGAAAAAATAGCATAAAATTAGTTAAATATTTACTATCTAGTAATCGGTAACAGAAATTTGAACATGTTTTTAAATTGTTTTCATTGGCAACGGTTTACGAAGTTGTGTCCCATGATTAAAAAATTAGAATTATATTTTTAACAAATAATTTTAAAAATACGTGAACTGTATTATTATCATAATTTTTAGGATTCCATTCTCAATAAATTTAAAGAAATATTTTTATTTGGTATTAATTATAAAAGTAATGAAATATTCATATAATTAGTTTAACTGCAAATTTATAGAGAAAAATATTAAGTTTGATTTGTAGTAGGCTTTTTGCCATTAATTGAAAAGTCATAAATTTCATTTTCATCGTCATAGACATAACTGTTGTAGTTAAAGATAGAAAATACAAATAATATTTAAATTAATTTAGTAACAATGTACACATTAAAACACTAAATATTAATAAGTATAGGAACAATTTATCGGTAATTATTCTAATAGATGATTACTGTATAGTAATAATATCCATTGGACAAATGCACATAAATATTATTTTAAAGTAAAGATTAACACGAAAGTAAATAAAGATAATATCACATTCAATTTCAACATTCCTAAGTAACCCAAAGCAAAGTATTTATTTTCATAACGCAATATATTTTTAAAAAATAATACGAAATAAAATTTAAAATGCATAATAGAGGCTTTGGGAGTCCCATAGTTAACGTTCGAAGAGCCAACGTCTGCGGGGGAGGGGGGAGGGGACGGCAAACCATGCCCATCACACCAATTTGTTTTAGCTGTTACATTTATAATATTCAACCAGGTTCCAGTATTGAAAAAAAATATCGTAAATAGTTATAAAATTTTAATAGATTGCATTACTTATTTGTATTAATTTAAACTTTAACTAAGTTGAATTTAGAAAAATATTGGGGCGTCCATTTATTGCGTCAAAAGATAAGGGTTGGGGGAGGGGGGATGGGGGATGTTTGACAGTTGTTGACAAGGAGGAGGGAGGGGGTTTAGATTAGTTGACGTCAACAATCTTGTTTTCTCCATTAAAATTTAAATATTAAAAATTGACTGGTTATTACATGATTTTAAAAACTTATAGGTGCAAATATTCATATAATTTTTAGGCTTTTAACGATATAAGATTTATTTAATGTGTTTCTGTCTGTGCACTGCAGATGGTGGGTCAGAATGTTAGCACACTTTGTTGGTGCAAGAGAAGTCAAAAGTTGGCCTCTCTTCAGCTGTAGATTCTGTTGCAGGTATGGAACAAGGACAAGGTTCAAGTGTCATGTGGAGTCAAGATAAATGATATTGTTAGAGTATACGATATTTCGAGGATTAGGTGAATGTAAAGTGAGTAACAATAATAACATCGCTGCTTGAACGGATTTGCAAAATCTGTAACATCTAGTTTGCATCACAAGTCATGTTGAAAGCATGTTCAACGGCACCGGCAATGCCCTCTTAGACATAAAAAATTAGCAGCTGCTCCTCAACTCGACCAATGCGAGTAGCTGCGAGGAGATAGAGAGAGCTATTGGCAATTATTGCTCACACCGACAATGTTTCTATTTTAAGTGCTGAAACTGAATGGTTAGACGAGGATGATGTTGGCTTGTCTGGAATATCAGTGCCGAAGATGAAAATGGTAAATGAGCTGCTATAGACTCTAGGGTAATAAGGGGAGAGACTGCAATCAGGTTAGCACAATATAAAATGAGTTAAACAAAGTAGGCTTAAACCTGAAAAAAAGGAACGCAACAAAACCACGAACGTGTCGGCAGGAAGCCTTCGTCAGTGAACAAAACAACAGAAAAACAGTATAAAAAATAGCACTTAGCTTAGAAGTAGTATCCGTGGGCAGCAAATGAATTCACACTTGCATGGTCCCTTATGTTAGGAATGTTGAGAGCCAGGATTGAAGGTTGTCAGTAATGCCGTAATGGCGGAGCTTGTGTAGAAGAAGTCTGTGTGGAACAGTGTCGAAGGCCTTGGAGAAGTCAATAGGAGGCCAGGAGGTCATCGGTGGTGATGATTAATTGAGTTTCTGTTGAGAATCCAGAGCGGAAACCGTGGTTTAGGTTGGTCAAAATGTTGTAGTGTTCAAGGTGGTTCGTGATGTGGCGATAGATGATGTGTTCTAGGATTTTGGATGGGATGGCGGTTAGAGATATTGGACGGTAGTCTGCTGGGTTATGGCGGTCACCTTTCTTGTAGGCACTAGTTATATTTGAATCAAGCCGATCTAGCGGGAGTTTGCCTGAGCCAAGCGACTTTTGGAAAATGTGGGTCATGGTTGGGGCAATGTTGTCAGCCAGGGTCTTCAGGATAATTCGGGATACAGTCAGGTCCGGGCGCTTTATTGGGCTTCAGGTTTTGAGAAGTTTTGCTACTCCTGTTTCAGTTATGTTGAGAGGGCCTATTGTATCAAGTGAGGGTTTTAGGGATGGTATGACTGTGGTGGAAATTTTTGTGAAGACATATTGAAACTGCCTTAGGAGAATTTCTGCTTTGCATTGGCCATCGCTTACAAGTTGCCCGTTTTCTAGTAGGGGGCTACACGGATGTTGTCTTGCTTCCTGGAATTAATGTAGTGACAGAAGGGTTTTGTGTTGTTGTTTTCTAGGCCTTCTTGAATGACTTCATTTATGTGCTGCCACTCTCCTCTTCTTAGTTCCCCAAGGCAATGTTTCTGGAACTGGTGATACAGGGTCCAGTTGTTGGTAGTTTGGACTTTCATCAACAGTCTTTTCTTTCTCTTCAGCAGCTTCTTGAGTCGTGTATTCAGCCATGGTAGATTACATGGATTCTCTGCGGTGGCTGATGGGACATTTTGATCTATGCTGTTGGATAAGGCATTATTAAAGTTCGACCATACTGTATCTAAATCCTCTACCTCATTGTATTTTTTTAGGATGGCCTGTCAAGCGGCGGTGAGATCTAGCTTGATCTTGTCCCAGTTTGCCTTACCAAACTTGTAAGATTTCCTGGGTTTCTGGCGCGTCATTTGAGCTTTGGCGTAGAAGTCAACCACTACAGCGTCATGGTCAGATATGCCTGGGACACGTGTAGATTGTTTAACAGGGGTGGAGTTGGACGTGAAGATAAGGTCTAGGATGCTGTTTTGACATGTCGGTGTTTTCTGCACTTGAGTGAGTAGTGAGTATAAGGTTAAGTCGACCAATGATTCCTGAATAGTATTGTCTTTGCCGGTGGAGTGGGAAGTATGCGTGGTCCAGTCTATATCGGGGCAGTTGAAGTTGTCGGCGACGATGATGTCGTGTGGATGCTTACCGTTGGCTGTAAGAAAGTTGACGGAATTTTGGAGATCGTCAGGGTCCCGCTGGGTTCTTTTGGGCATATAGAAGGCACCGATATAGAGGTCTTTCTTGCTTTTTAATTTAACCTTTGCCCCTACTATTTCCCAGGCTGTGACCAGGTGCGGTTGTTCTACTGATGTGAGGACCAGGTGTGGTTGTTCCACTGATGTGAGGACCAGGTGTGGTTGTTCCACTGATGTGAGGACCAGGTGTGGTTGTTCTACTGATGTGAGGACCAGGTGCGGTTGTTCCACTGATGTGAGGACCAGGTGCGGTTGTTCCACTGATGTGAGGACCAGGTGTGGTTATTCCACTGATGTGAGGACCAGGTGTGGTTGTTCCACTGATGTGAGGACCAGGTGTGGTTGTTCTACTGATGTGAGGACCAGGTGTGGTTGTTCCACTGATGTGAGGACCAGGTGTGGTTGTTCCACTGATGTGAGGACCAGGTGTGGTCGTTCCACTGATGTGAGAGATCTGTGAATCAAGATGAAGACGCCGCCACCCTTTGTTGCGCCGTCATGACGATACACATTATATTCCGCCGGAAAGACTTTTGAGGACTTGATATGGTCCAGGGTTGGTTCTTTCCCAGGTTTTATGACTCGGAGCCATGACTCTGTTCCACATATTATGCTTGGATGACGGTTGCGAGCTCGTTTCTCTTTAATTCTATAATGTGCTTTGGCAGTTGATATTTAGTCAATAGTAGGCGGAGGTTTGCATTTTTGTGGTGGCAAGGGATATAAGGGGAGGTTGTAGGATGTCGGTTTTGTTCTCGGGAGAGATACTTGTCTTATGAAATATGAGCAATGCTATTATTATTAGGGACAGATTCATGACCTTAATGATTTTCCTAAAATTTTATGACTCATGTGCAAAACTGGGACACTTAAAAAGATATGTATCACAATGCAAAGAACTGCATCAGCATCACGAAACATTTAACAATTAATGAACAATTTAGGGAACATAGGACATATTTAACTTTTATTTTAAAATAATAATACATAGTAATAAATTTCAAAGTGATATATTTTATGCAGTATTTGTTTTCCTTTAGTATTGAAGTATTGAATATAAAATATACTAATAAAATAACATATTTTATTACTATATAAAATTATAATAGTGAAACAGTTATTTTTTTCTGTTAAGCTGTGATGTTATTATGTTTTTGTCTGATTTAAAAATTGCCTTAAAAAAAAAAAATACATCTATTTTAAAATAAATCATATTTTGAAAAAAGGGTTCACATTTACACACATTTCATTTTAAGGTTAAAAAATGTACTGGTCATTGTTTTTGGATAAGGCCTAGCAATGGCTTAAATTAATGAAATTCTAAATGGTTTAATTTGAACAGCATCATTTGAATTTAAAAAAAATGTTTAGCTCATTAAAAATAAATAATTTTTCCTTGGCAACTTCCAGATAACTACAAAGTATTATTGCCTGACGAAAACATTAACCACCCCCCCCCCAAGTATTCAATTGATGCCATCCTATTTACTCACTGATAGAGTAATCCTGTTTTCTGATGCCCTCCCAGTGACTAAGGTCATCATTTTCCCATATTTGTAAAAAATGTGATCACTTAATTTAAACTACCGGGTAGTGATATTACGGCCTAAATACATCTAGACACGTCTCATTAAAGTGGATGAAGCAGCATCAGTAAGACGACTGGTAGAAAGAGCCGAGTTTAAATTGATGGTAAATTTGAAGATTGTTATCTTTTCCCACCTTGCGATTGCCAGGCTGTCTTGTTTCACTTTCAGCCACCTGGCTGCAGGCAAGGCTTTTTATTTCATTCACCTGACAAACCAATTTTTGTGTGCAGATGATTCATAAATTAGTTTTTAAGTGGTTATCATAGTTTACTCATTCAAATAAAATTATTTGTCCACTTCAAGGTGCCAACTCGAATTAAATTTTTTTGCTGATCTAAACCAAATTAAACTACAAATATCATGTCTTTGCCAGTTCTATAATCAGCATTTTAGACGAGTTACATTAACACATTAATCAGGAGATTAAAGATTTTGTAATAAGATTGTTGGGCAGTTTTAAGGTTCAAAAGATTACCATTTTAAAGATTATTTAGCCATTGGAGAATTTGGTTGGCAAACACTGAAAAGTATTTATTGAAATAGAGTTAAAGAAGAACAGCATCTTTGCATTTGCTGTTCCAACAATTTGGAACGCCCTTCATGTCGCTCTCAGAAAAAAACAGACACTGGAGTCCTTTAAAACCGATTTAAAGACACATCTATTTCGCAAACACCTTCTGGGATGATTGTACCATATATCTTCCATTTAATGCATATTGGCTGTGTTGCTTAGGGTTGAAATGGCTAGAAAGACTTTGACTTGGTGTTCTTGTAATTAGTTTTTGTAGTGTTGCGTTTGTTTTAAAGGTGGTAAATTATAATTTTTTTTTTTACTTTGTACCACGCTTCGAGCCTTTGGGGGATGAAGCGTGTTTTTGAAATAAACTTTATTATTATCATTATTATATATATATATAATATAGAGCTCGTCAGTCAAAATTGACTATGACCATCTTAATCATCGCATAACCTAAATGTAATATTGAAGACACAGAATAGACACTGAATGTGACTCATACATAACTATACAAGTTTATCCACAGAGCAAATAAATTTAATACCAAACTCTAAGAAATAGTTATAGAAGATGAAGTTTGCATTATTTATTGATATCAATTTATATTACCTGGTAGAAGATTGAAATAAAACTATCTTAAACAATATAAAAACATAGTATTTGAAAGTTGATTTCTTTTTAAATAACCTGGAGGATGACATTTAGTCAAAGACTAAAAATAATCTATGTTTAACTGTTTGAGTTTTAATGTTTCAATTTCCTGTCATTTTATTACATGACTTGTTTTTAAAAATTTAAGTTTTTATCAATGCCATAAATCACAAGTAATGCCAGTGAAATGGGGACACAACATAGATTTTCAATCCATGCACTGAGGCCCTACCTGATACATATTTCTTTAGTTCCACTCAAAATTATTTTTAAAAACTATTTACTTTAACTTTAAAAAAAAAAATCTATCTGGAATATTTACTTCTGGAGAGTCCATATAAACATTCTTAATGGATAATATTTTAATTCATTGTGTCAAGGTTTTACTCTCTTTCCTGTAAAAACTGCCAGTTCCTTGCTTCTTGGACACTAGTCTAAAATCTTCTTGGCTATGCTTTGTTAAAACCTTCAATTTACTCCTTCAATAAATGGTACTCCTTAGTTTCTTCATTTCCCTTGATTGATAAATTTCTCTTAGATCATGTCAACTAATTTAGTAATTATGATGTCATTTGGTTGGAGCTTTCATTCTGAAATGTTCACTAATAATGAGAGATGACCAAAAACCAGAACGGAGACTGGGCTAACATAGACTTCAACTCGGTCAACTCTTGCCAGTGGCAATATCACTACCAACCACTGAAAACTCACATTAAGTTGTCAAAAAAACTCATTTAACTTAACAGAGAAGGACAAACAAAACATTTTAAATCTGAGCTGCAACACCCTAAATAAAATGTTTCAATGGTTCTGGTTAAAATGATTGTTACAAAATCTACAGCTAACTTTGGCAAAATGATATATTTAAATTTAAACTTTTAAAAATATAATAATATCTAATCAGCAAATTAAAAAAATAAAATAAAGTAAATATGCCAAAAAATACTTATTTTGGAAACAATGACTAGAGTAAAGCAGCCCAGAAATCAACATTTTATTGAAAATGTGAACAAATCATTATGCCATAAAAATTATATATTTTTTTAATAAAAAATAATGTAGAGGAAATGACATTACTGTTCCCATTGAAGGCTGTAACATAATTATTCATATTGTTTGAAAATAACCAGAAGAAATTAGTTCTCCATAGTAAAAAAATAATGAAGTAGACAACTTATTCCTCAAACCAATTCTAGCAATGGAAGTTGGGTTGAATTTTATTTCAAAGCACTGTATTTCTTTATAAATTGTATGACCATTACAAGTAGCAACATTTGTAAGTATGCATGCTCAATGCCATACTCTATTAAAAATGTTTCATATTAAATGCACATTACTTAAACTTTGCTGCCATCTTGTATGGAAACTTTTATTTATAAAATATACCTTCTTCACAAAAGATTCTTAGAAAACAACCACTGCTAGAAAAAGATCAGCCCTCCCTCATAAGAGGAATAGCAGAAAATCAACATTTAGTTTATTTACCAGGGAGATGAAAGATCCATTCATCTCAAGATGAAAGATGTTCACCAATTTATGTTTCTTAAATTTATTGACAGCACTATTCTTAACTCAGTTCAATAAAAAATATACCATTAAAAAGTTCATAATTATCAAAGGACCTCTCATCGCATTAACAGTAAATTTCAAAAACTCAAAAATATTGAAAATTAAAAATATCTAGAATGTTGGGAGGGATTCCACAAACTTTAAGCTAGCCAATTTTGAAACTGCTACGGAATATCTTTACTAGAAAATGATTATACCGGATATTAAAAAATAAATAGCATCAGACTAATGTTCAGTCACACTTAAAGTTAACACTTTAAAGAAGAAGGATAAATATCACAGAGTTATGACTGATTGATTGGATGATTAAATATTGCAATGGACGGACTGAGGTTAATGTAGTGGAGCTTTAGAACGACAATAACAATAAATAATATTTTTTTTTACAAGGGCACCAATTATTATAGGAATGTCAGAATAAGACGTAATAATATAAGTTATCAGAATAAGACGTAATAATATAAGCTATCAAAATAATTTAATTAAAATATCAGGAACAACTTTTGTATAATATTTATAAATGAGAGAAATTTTTAAAAAAAGTTTAGATGAATACCTGAATTTATCTTGCTCATAGAGTGTAATTATTTTTGTTTAAATAGTAAGAACGCATAAAAAAAGTTGACAATGAGCTATTTAATATTATTTAATTTTAAATGCAGCAAATGAATATTTAAAAAACAAATTATTTACAAAATATGCTATACATATTATTTGGTACCGGTATCAGCATATCCAAGAAGGATTATTTGTGGAATGTTCAGCTACATTAAATCAATGTCATGTCTAGAGTTTCGACAACAAACATTATTTTCATCTATACGCTAAGCTGATCATCATCATCATCATCTTTGGTTATATGCCATTTTTATTTACCAATTTCTTTTATGGAGGGAGAAAAATACAAAAAATAAAAAAGAGTTTTGCATTGCACGCATCTTATCCAGTCTTGTATAGTAGTCATGACACATTCTAAAAACATTTGAAAAAGATATCAAGCATGCTTTCCAACAAGAGTATGTGATACTGTCTTCTAATGATGTACAGTGCAAGAAATTGAAAGAACTCTGTTTTGCCAAATTCTGAAATGAAAAGATTTACACAAAGTTAGCTTAACAAAAAAAGTAAAGGTCAATGTCCCAGTTGTTTTAATTTGGATCAATTGTGTGAGATATGTGGTGTTAAAGATGACACATTTGGGGGTTATAGATGAGATATCTGAGGTTATAGATGAGATATCTGAGGTTATAGATGAGATATCTGAGGTTATAGGTGAGATATCAAGGGTTATAGATGAGATATCTGGGTTATAGATGAGATATCTGAGGTTATAGATGATATATCTGGGTTTATAGATGATATATCTGAGGTTATCGGAGAGATATCTGAGGTTATAGGTGAGATATCAAGGGTTATAGAAGAGATATCTGGGGTTATATTACAAATGACAACCGAATAGCATTTAGTCAAAACGGACCCGGACACGAAGCGCCGCTATTCGGACCCTGGTCCGTTAGACTCAATGCTATTCGGATGTCCTTTGTGGTAATTTATTTTAGTTAAACTGAAGAATTAAGTTTACAAACATATAGTCCATTCAATTATCTTTCATTTAATACCAAATTTTGTCTTACAACATAACAATTTTAAAAAAAATTTTTTTAATCCCAACCTCTCACTTCTCGGGCCCGGGGTCCGAATAGCCACTTCAATAAAGTTTAGAAGAAGAATGCATGGAAGGTTAGTTGATAGGCGACCTGAACTAACATTATACACAACAATCTGCCTGACATCAGGCATATTAAGCAGGCACGTATGGAAATTTGGAATGACGTCAGATTAAACAATCTTACTTGGTGCTAACTTTGAGACCCGTGTCCTGTAGCTTGTAAACTGGAGTAAAAATTAAAGTTAAGGCTCCTTTCATCTATTTCAGGTTTCCTGTAGGCAAAAAAACAAACAAAAAAAACACAACAATTAATATTAATTGACAAACTGTTGGCAAACAGCACACCCCCCACCCCCACTCCAATTCACATTGTTGTAAAGACATAAAAAAGTAGTTACAAAATCAACAAAAAGTTGTCTCATTATGGTATAAACTTTAATCAGATTTATTTAATCAAGTTTTTTGAAGGAGATATTGCAAGAATTACCTTGTGGTTCTGATGGAATTTGATCTTTTACTTAAAGAATAATCTGGTGGCTTTGGTATATGTGCTTTGGAAGAAAAGTTGAAGCTGGGATTGGCCGAGATGTTTTCTAAGCCAAAATCATTGATCTGAGAGAAGGTGGGTCTTCCTGGGGGAGATGAGGACTGCTGGATCTGGGCCTGAGTTACAAAGGCGTCATAGTTTGCTTTAGACTGCTCTGACATAGCCTGTCAATCAGATAGTACTTCATTTCTGATTACATGATAACTTACAACTTTGTTTTTAAGAGACTGTATAAAGATTTAAATTTCTTTGTTGCTGAGTATTACATTTTTTACATCATTTAATTATTTCAAAGTTACACTAGAGATAACATGAATTTTGTGATGAAAATAAAATGACCAGGTTGATCTGTTTATTAATATTTTGTCAAGTCCTTAGTTGCGTATTATGCGCTCTCTGAACAAAATTAAATATGAACCATCGTATCTTAACCAGCACAATAGTCTAATTAAAATCAACGTTCTCTTTTCCCATGCCTTAGTCTTACTAAAAAACAAACTTCTGTTCCCAAGCCTCAGTCTTACTAAAAACCAAACTTCTGTTCCCAAGCCTCAGACTTAGTAAAAACCAAACTTCTGTTCCCAAGCCTCAGACTTACTAAAAACCTAACTTCTGTTCCCAAACCAGTATTAATAAAACAAACCTCTGGTTCCAAAACCACAATCTTATTATAAGATGCAACATTCTGTTCTGAAACTACAGTCTTAATAAAACCAAGGTTCTGTTCCCACACCCAATCCCTTACTTTAATTAAACGCTTACCTTGCTCTGCTCAATCATCCGGTGTTTTATTGCATGTTTTTGCACAATCTGAGCTTGGCGCAAGGTGCTGGATCCAGGCGGATAATTAAGGGGAAGTGGAGCATCCTGGAAATCATTGTAAACGCTGCTGCTGTCTGACTGACTCATGGCGCCGTCAATAAAACTGTTAAAAGTGGCATTGGCATTGTGCATGTGAACACCGGATTGCGTATGGTGAAGCGGTCCGGTTGGATACAATGGTCTTCGGCCATCTTGACTGTTCATTCCAAGTCTGGACGCCGCTAGCGCCTTGTGCTCATCCACAGTCATATAACGTGAAACTGAGGGGACAGTGGAATATAACATGAGGACAGAAAAAAACTAGAGCGTTACTTGAGCTGGTAATGGCAATTACGATGAAAAAATGTTACCCAATGAAAACTATTCTTCAAAGAGAAAATAAGAGATGTGAACATTTGCAATAAGTGAATATAAGAGATTTACAATAAGTGAAAATAAGTAATGTGAACATTTGCAATAAGTGAATATAAGTTATGTGAACATTTGCAATAAGAGAATATAAGAGATGTGAACATTTGCAATAAGAGAATATAAGAGATGTGAACATTTGCAATAAGTGACTATGAGAGATGTGAACATTTGCCACAAAGTTACTGCTCCTATATTTTGAACAACCTTGTTCTACGTAAAATAAATCTGATAGCTCAACTCTTACATTTGGTAGAAATGAGGACGTAAAGGAAATCTGGCAATATAACTCAACTCTTACATTTGGTAGAAACGAGGAGCTAAAGGAAATTGGCAATATAATTCAACTCTTCTATTTGGTAGAACTGAGCAACGAAAGGAAATCTGGCATCTAACTCAACTATTATATTTGGTAGAAATGAGGATGTAAAAGGAAATCTGGCAATACAACTCACCTCTAACATTTGGAAGAAATGAGGAGCTAAAGGAAATCTGGCAACCCTAACGGACGTGTCAGCAATGACCTGTTACATTTATCTACAACCCTAGTGGACATGTCAGCAATGACCTGTTAAATTTATCTACAACCCTAGTGGACATGTCAGCAATGACCTGTTACATTTATCTACAACCCTAACGGACATGTCAGCAACGACTGAACAATTGTTCACCAGACAAATCAAAATTTTCAATCTTAAAGATTGTTCTTTATTGCTCTGTCATCTGTTACCACCATCACTAATGCTAAATATTTCGTCTGGTCTAATATCTTATGACTAATCTTCCTTGGTCACAACATGGACTAGTGTGATTCAAGAACACAAAAAGGTTTATTGTACATTATGGATTTATTTTTAAAGAACTAAAACATCCACCTGATACACAATGAAGCTAATACTTAAATACATCTATTTAAATAATTAAATATTATCCTCAGGTAAGCCTGAGAGAGAATCTAACACAATTACTTTCTCTCTCTAGATCACTCTACACACTCTCTCGACTCTAACTCTTGAACCAATCTCGACGATCTACTCTGGACTCTCGATCACACTGCCTTTTATATCCCAACAAAACACTCAGCATACACTAAAGCTCCACACCACGAAGCAGCTTCACGATCTGAACTCACGACTTAAAACTCACAAAAACACTCTCACGATCAACAACTCCCCCTACCAAACATTTGCAACAAGCTAGTTCACAACAGCATTATGGCAATATTTCCCTGACCTGATCCCTGAGAGCTGGGTCTGTTTAAAGTATGTCCTGACCAGTGGTTCCCAGAAAGCCCATTAACAGTCACAGGATCATCAGGACTGTGACCACCAACGTAATGAAATTTGAGAGCCTCTGATTCTGGCTTGAGAACTGCTGCTCCGTTGGGGGCTGCATATTGACGAGCCTGTTGTCGCACGGCTAGTCTTTGGAGAGCCTCGTGAATAGCCTTCTCATTATATGTATCTGTGACACAAAGAACCACTGATTAATAATTTACTTATGAAGAAAACCTGTTGTGCTAAGATCCCATTTATAATTATTGTGAATCAACTTTACTTGATTTTAAAGCCCACAATTCAACCAGGAAGTTGTATCTTTCTTGCTAAACGGTTACAAAAATTTTGATTACAAAATTATTTGTCTAACATTTATTTGTTTAACATATCCTCCATCTACTAATAGAGAGGAATGGCTTGTGTCTGAGTTATGGCAGACTGTAGTGCGGAATGACTAACAGGAATGGCTTGTGTCTGAGTTATGGCAGACTGTAGTGAGGAATGACTAACAGGAATGGCTTGTGTCTGAGTTATGGCAGACTGTAGTGAGGAATGACTAACATCACTATTTACAATTTACAGCATGATCAAAACTGTGTGGGAAAAATTGGGACTAAATTTTCCAAACGTTGCGAGTTGGACATTATTAAAGACCTGAACTCCTCATCCCTTCCCACCATCGGTGACAAATGGCTAGAGTTGCTTACCAACTACAGGATCTGATGTGCTCATCATGCTACTCTGTGGACCCACAGAACCAGAGTGACCGGGTATGGCTGTCGATGGCCTAATTGTGCGCCCTATAGAGAAAATAAACAAATAATTTAAGCATGGACATCATTTTAAATATAAGGACATCATTTTAAATATAAGGACATCATTTTAAATATAAGGACACCATTTTAAATATAAGGACATCATTTTAAATATAAGGACATCATTTTAAATATAAGGACATCATTTTAAATATAAGGACATCATTTTAAATATAAGGACACCATTTTAAATATAAGGACACCATTTTAAATATAAGGACATCATTTTAAATATAAGGACATCATTTTAAATATAAGGACACCATTTTAAATATAAGGACATCATTTTAAATATAAGGACATCATTTTAAATATAAGGACATCATTTTAAATATAAGGACATCATTTTCAATATAACAGTTCAAATAAAGTAAAAAGTCAATGGTGAAGTCTAACTTTCTGTGCTTTATTTTTTAAAATGTTACCCTTCAATTTTTTAAACTTCTTTTTATTCCGGCTCACTTGTTTGTTTCCTAAGATGTGTTTTGCAAGCTTTTAAGTTTGTCCGATCGGTGGACAAATTAAAAAAAAATTGCACCAGGGACCAGTGCCATATTTATTCATTCTTATTTTTTTTAACCATAAATATTTATGTTGTGTAAACCAACAGCATAAGGCTCAATGACCTTACTTTGGGGAAAAACTGTCCAAAGGTAGATAACTCTTATTTATTGCTGAGATTTTTTTGCTAACAGCCTGTGTTTTTATTTAATGTCTTTAAAATTAGGGCTTCTCAACCTGGAGTGCTTCCGCCCGCGGTGGGTGTGAGGTGGCATTTCAGTGGGTCAGAGGAAAAATAATTATAAGAGCTGAAGCGCCATTGACTGTCAAGTTATTATTATTGAAATGTTTTCACAGTTTACAAAATTTCTTCATTAAAATCTTAATTTAATTTATGCAAAAAGTATTTAGTACTTATTTTTTAAGTTCTACAGGACCTGTTAGTAAATAGAAAAATTAGACATCCCTTTTTCCTCATTTTATGCAAAATTACTTTTGGTAGTGCGACACTAATTCAATTAAGTTTTAGTGGTTGCAAGACTCAAATAATTTCTAGTGGAGACTGTAGAAAAGGTTGGGAAACCTTCGTTTTAAAATTATGCATGATGAATGTAAAACAAATTTCCTTTTTATAAAAACAATAAAAGAATCTTATTTTAGATCACTTTTCTCAAAAAAAAACACCAACATTTTGCCAGATTAATGTTTTTGTAAATATTTTTTAAAAGATGCAAAAATTAGAATTTAAAAAAAAAAAAAAAAAATAGTACAATTGAAGCACATTAGTATAAAAGATATTTTGAGAAGCCATTTCGGAAAAAAAAACATCTTGACATTTAAGCCAATCCAACTCTAAGTGGAACAAGCAACATTTTACTATAATATTATTTTTAATTTTAAACTAATGAGGAAATAAGTTAGACACTAGTTAAAGGTTTCTAATTTAGGCTACCACAGGCAATTAGAATGCATGAAAAAAATACATACTTCGAAGACAAAAGGAACATGAAATTTCCCAAATAAAGGTTTAAATCATAACTTATGAAAGTAAATTTAATTTTAAAATGTCAAGCAGAACTTGTATGGGAATGTATTAGTTATTAGCAATTGGACTAGCAAATCTATACAAGCTTTCAATTACAAAGAAAATAATTTGATCATATTTGCTGTGGATGAAATACTTCAACATGATGAGCTAAAACTAGTCACATCTGTTACATTAAATTCATTGGCTACCACTAAAAGATGTAGAAGTGAAACACCACTCTGAGGCCATGAAGCAGATGTCACACCAACTATCAAGGACTTTTAAATTACTCTATAAAGAAACAAGAAGAAAAGTTTGACAAGCACAAATAGTTCTTTTTCTACTACATTGTGATGACTGTAAATAGTTCTATTTCTGCTAGTTAATGATGACTGTAAACAAAACAACAAACGTGTCAGCAGGAAGCCTTCGTCAGCAAACAAACAACAGAAAAAAACAATATTAAAATTTTTTAAAACTCAGCCAAGTTCTGTTTTTTAAATTTCAATTCTGTTTTTTCTGTTTCTCCTGCCAACAAATTTGTTGTTTTTTGTTGCGTTCCTTCTTTCAGGTTTTCCCATGCTTTGTTTAACTCATTTCATTTTTTTCTAACCCGATTGCAGTCTCTCCCCCTTATTACCATTGCATAAAGGGAAGCAAGGCTCCTAATAGAATATCCTGCTTACATTTTACCCAAATGAATAAAAGTAATGTCTATTAGATATGAAAAATTTTACCACATTTAAGCAAAATAAATTTGGAAGTGTTTTTATTGCTTTTATTTAATATCTGAAATTTGAACATTAAATTACTAGACACGTTTTCTATTTCTGGAACTGATGCAACAATTACAATTCTTTAAATGTTAATATTATTTTATATGCCCTTCTTGTCTATCCCCCTTTTTATCTATTATTCATGTACTATTTTAAGCAGTAGTATCACAACATTAAAATTAACAAAAAAAAAAAGTTGTTTAAAAGATTTCCGCATCTGCTTGGGTTTGAGTCAGTGACTCTCCTGTTCTATAAGTGTTTGTTTGTTTATAACATGAACATTCTATCATTTGGTCACATGAACATTCTATCATTTGGTCACATGAACATTCTATCATTTGGTCACATGAACATTCTATCATTTGGTCACATGAACATTCTATCATTTGGTCACAAGAACATTCTATCATTTGGTCACATGAACATTCTATCATTTGGTCACATGAACATTCTATCATTTGGTCACAAGAACATTCTATCATTTGGTCACAAGAACATTCTATCATTTGGTCACAAGAACATTCTATCATTTGGTCACAAGAACATTCTATCATTTGGTCACAAGAACATTCTATCATTTGGTCACATGAACATTCTATCATTTGGTCACATGAACATTCTATCATTTGGTCACATGAACATTCTATCATTTGGTCACATGAACATTCTATCATTTGGTCACATGAACATTCTATAATGGTCACATGAACATTGTATCATTTTGTCACATGAACATTCTATCATTTGGTCACATGAACATTCTATCATTTGGTCACATGAACATTCTATAATGGTCACAAGAACATTCTATCATTTGGTCACATGAACATTCTATCATTTAGTCACAAGAACATTCTATCATTTGGTCACATGAACATTCTATCATTTGGTCACATGAACATTCTATCATTTGGTCACAAGAACATTCTATCATTTGGTCACAAGAACATTCTATCATTTGGTCACATGAACATTCTATCATTTGGTCACATGAACATTGTATCATTTGGTCACATGAACATTGTATAATTTGGTCACATGAACATTCTATCATTTGGTCACAATAACATTCTATCATTTGGTCACATGAACATTCTATCATTTGGTCACATGAACATTCTATCATTTGGTCACATGAACATTCTATCATTTGGTCACAAGAACATTCTATCATTTGGTCACATGAACATTCTATCATTTGGTCACATGAACATTCTATCATTTGGTCACATGAACATTCTATCATTTGGTCACATGAACATTCTATCATTTGGTCACATGAACATTCTATCATTTGGTCACATGAACATTCTATCATTTGGTCACATGAACATTCTATCATTTGGTCACATGAACATTCTATCATTTGGTCACATGAACATTCTATCATTTGGTCACATGAACATTCTATCATTTGGTCACATGAACATTCTATAATGGTCACATGAACATTATGAACATTCTATCATTTGGTCACATGAACATTCTATCATTTGGTCACATGAACATTCTATCATTTGGTCACATGAACATTCTATCATTTGGTCACATGAACATTCTATAATGGTCACATGAACATTCTATCATTTGGTCACATGAACATTCTATCATTTGGTCACATGAACATTCTATAATGGTCACATGAACATTCTATCATTTGGTCACATGAACATTCTATAATGGTCACATGAACATTCTATCATTTGGTCACATGAACATTCTATCATTTGGTCACATGAACATTCTATCATTTGGTCACATGAACATTCTATCATTTGGTCACATGAACATTGTATAATTTGGTCACATGAACATTCTATAATGGTCACATGAACATTGTATAATTTGGTAGCATGAAGGGCCATTAAATTATTTGCTAAAAAGGGAAAAAAAACCTAACAAATCAGTTTCTAATCAATGTTGATCTTACAAAGAAGATAAAAATCTGCAGAGAGCTAGGTCTATAAAAATTATTTTGCATATGGTGTTTCATGTCCAATGAAACTGGAAGAGGTGTTTACAAGAATTTTCTTGTTAAATAAAAATGAAAACTTTAAATGCCTGACATTTGAAGAAAAAACTAAAGGGAAACAAAAATATGAATGGTAGTTTTATATTAAAAAAGCCCATTTTGTCTTTTAAGGGAAAAAAAATATTATTTGTTCACCAACAAGATGACGGGCTACCTGGCCGATTGCTTCCACTGAAATGTGTGGCTGAAAAAGGCCTGCCAAGTCGTTGGGTGTAGATAGAGACAGCGGACATATAGGCATGTTGCGTTGAGCTTGGGGAGTGGGCCGAGTTAGGTCGAGAGACATTTCGGATAATTTTCCCTGTATGGTGATCAATGGCTGCTTGGCTAGTGACTAAAGAGTTAGTATTAAAAACATGAAGTTGAAAAGTGGTTAGGCAATAGCTACGATTTTTATAAAACTGCAACACATCTTAATGTTTTATATTATGGCTGCATATCTAAAAACTAGCAGTAAATTAGTCTTCTTCTAAATCATTTTGCTATTTCTGGCAAATTATTGAAAAACTAACAAGCCAAAAAATAATTATGAAATTATGTTTATTTGAAAATAATTTTTTATCATTATAATGTATAATAACTAACTTTAAAAATATATATTTATCAATACATTTTTTTAATACATCAAAAATACATTTCATTTGCAGTGAATTATATTGTTGAATATTAGGAATTTCTAAGTGCTGGTTTTAATTGTGACCATCAATAAGAATAAATTTCTATTTTCCCCTTAATTTTACTAAAATTCCTAATTTTAGCATTTGTAATTAATAATAAAACCAATACTTGCAATGTAATGTTTCAGAAATTAGCTTCTGTTCAATAGCAGCAAATGTGAGAAAACTACCCACAAATGTTTAAAATTTTAACAAGAAACAAAGCAGTAATTGTTTTCATGAATAATTTGCTAATCAAATGATAAGATAAAAGAAAAAAAAGTGTTTTAAAATAAATTTCTGTTGCAACAGGAGAAAAAACATTTGGAAAAGAAAGCAATTAAATCAAGTTAATCTTGCTAATTCTAAATGTTGAATTAATGCAATCACAACTTGAGAACCCAACTTACTATAAAACAGAACATTGTTGCTGTTTAAGTTGGGTGTAGCAACTGTCAAATAGAAAGATAAACACATTTGTTGTGTTACAAACTGAGTTGAAATAGTTAACATGACCAGATTTAAGTATCTCCTAGAATTGTTTCATTATCAAAATTCAATGATCCAATAACATTGGTTTTTAAATGATTTGATCACTTGCAGTGGACATGGATCATTCAGAATTTTTTTTTTTTTTTAAGTTATGTTCTTGTCTTGAAAAATAAAAATAAATTTATGCATCAACAGGTTGACTCTTTTGTGTGATCATTAATAAATGAAAACTGCAAAAGCAGGGATTATATAAAAACATACAATGACCTGCATTTTCTCTGGAATAAATGGTGTAAATCCCCCCACAATTTTACCTAATTTTAATAATTTTGTTTACCAGTTTTAAATGAACTTCAAATGAGCAAGATGTCTACATATAGACATGTGCATGTTTAATTTAGTTTGGGAATTTATTGTTTATACTCCTGATTTACTGACCACTACGGTGCAAACATTCTGTAAACATTTTTATCTGTCAAAACAGGTTTATCCGAATAATGTGTAGTGAAATCTGATTTTTATTGTGACCAACAGATCAACATAAAGCATCTAGCCAATTTAAAATATGGTTAATCTTAAGTAAAAAAGTAGCGCTGGTTTTAAAAATAAAAAAGAGTTTGTAAATTTATATGGTACTCACTGCTGCGGCCCCTTGAGGCATCATCGCCTGTGGCATGCCCGAAGGAACCAACCGGCACGGTACCATCAGAAATATCAGGGTTCTCCCGGCGACGAGACAAAACATCCTTTTTATTCTCCGTGACCGAAACACTTTGCTTTGAGTCCCCCCCAAGGAAAATTGCAGCTGACCGGTTGATTTTTGTATAAGTTGTCAGCACCTCTTCCAATTCACCTTCACTTTAACAACGGGAGGAAGCAGTTCATTAGAAATGAATCAAACAGAATATCACTTGATTCCTTCTACAGACTAAAACGTGCAGTAATAAATACAGATGAGACATGAATCAAGCATAAATAAAGAAAGCTATGTCTGCCATGGAACAGGGCGGAACAAGCCATCTGCTGACCCATTGGATTCTTGTTATAAATTAATTAGTATGAATATATCCAATGGTATACTGAATCGGTCAACTACTAAATTCATTGGCTTATATTACATATTATAACTAAATCCACTTAATAACTCTAAATTATTACATCATTCACCCTGGCACACCGTATCCTAACTTCTCACCCAAGATACCAGACACTCTTAAACAAAGTGACAAAATGCATCACTAACCTGGCTGTGTAGACAAACTGGTCAAATTTGGTCTCATCGAGGCCATCACAACTGTCAGCTCTCCTAGATTTCTTGTTCTCTATTCTATTCCTGACCCTCACAGCTTTCAAATGGTCAGTTTCCTGTTGATGAATTAAACATTTTAAAGTAACTACACAAAAATCTTTTCATGAAAACAGAGAAACAGGCTCTGAAAAATAAGTAGCTGAAGGAGAAAACTTTAAGTCGATCTCTCTCCTGCCTCCTCTACTCAATCTCTCCCTCCTCTAATCAGTCTCTCTCTCTCTCTCCTCTACTCAATCTCTCCTTCCTCCCTCCTCTAATCAGTCTCTCCCCCTTCCTCCTTGTATGTTAATCAGAGCAAACATAAAAACGAAGCATATTAGATGTACCAACAATTCTACGACACTTACTTTGTTATAGATGTGCACAAAGTCCCCCAACTGTTTTGCCAGGATTCTCCTTCTATCACTAAGAGGTAATTTCTTGCTGGGCACAACAACACGAAACGTTTGAGGTATGTTGACTGCTGCTCGTTTTAAAAACCGTAAAACAAGGTCCTGGAAAGAAATTTTGAAGTCCGCTGAAAGACTGATTGCCAACTAATTTAAAATTATATTTCTAAAAAGGTTGAATACAAAGCTTCCTAAAGTTAAACTTAAGAAGGTCACTTGAACCCGTAGACTCCAATGTCTAGAGTCAGGACAGTACTCAACGATAACCAATGATTGCTGGACTGACAAGCAAAACAAATATACTACAATGCTCTTTATTATTTAGATCAACGTTCTGTTATGTAGCACACTTTTTCCGTGCGTGAACTTTACTTGACCTAAATTAGAATCCTAGCAGACAGTAACGTCTGTTGTGGGCGTGGCCTATTCGTTTGATGTATCTTGTTTACAACCGTGTTAACCAATTAAATATGTTAGACTGTCTTCCTGGTATTTTCTCGAATGTGCTCGATAACCCAAGAAATGTAAACAACACGTCATAAGTCTTTTCTGGACGGCAGGACTTATGCGACCTATATAAGGGATTGACAGGCACGGACGGAGATTCAGATAGATATTATTAACTTTACTAGGCGTGTATTATTCTTTGTGTATTTGTGTGCTTATATGTGTTATTACGCATTTCATCATTAGTCATTGGCACATAATTCTAACTGTGTTAACTGTGTACCGGTACAAGATCTACCGAACTATAAGTTGAAGATTGTCATAATATTTTCTTTTCTTTTGTAATTATCTTAAGACTTAATAAATCTTATTAATTTTAGCCGGCAACTGCTTTGGGTGTCGTATCTTTACTATTGTTGACTCTATGGTGTCGTCCTTTGTTAGGCACTGCTTACAAAGAGCCAATAAAATTGAAATAGGCGATAAATTTCTCATATTAGAAGCCAGTGCGTAACAGTTCGCAATCTTTATAATAATATAAAAAGTTTTTTTTTGTTATAACTGTTATCAGTAAACAATGTATCACACTCGACAACATGCAATGTAAATGCCAACATCACGATCAGTAAACAATGTATCACACTCGACATCACGATCAGTAAACAATGTATCACACTCAACATCACGATCAATAAACAGTGTATCACACTCAACATCACGATCAGTAAGCAATGTATCACACTCAACACTAGATCAGTAAACAATGTATCACACTCAACATTAGATCAGTAATCAATGTATCACACTCAACACTAGATCAGTAATCAATGTATCACACTCAACACTAGATCAGTAATCAATGTATCACACTCAACACTAGATCAGTAAACAATGTATCACACTCGACAACATGCAATGTAAATGCCAACATCACGATCAGTAAACAATGTATCACACTCGACATCACGATCAGTAAACAGTGTATCACACTCAACATCACGATCAGTAAACAGTGTATCACACTCAACATCACGATCAGTAAACAATGTATCACACTCAACATCACGGTCAGTAAACAATGTATCACACTCAACATCACGGTCAGTAAACAATGTATCACACTCAACACTAGATCAGTAAACAGTGTATCACACGATCAAATAAATGCCAGTGTTACCATCTGTTCATTGAGGGCTTCTATATCCTCCTGCTTCAAGACAATCCCACAGTCTGATAGCAACCTTTGCTGGACACGAATCAGGTACATGGCAAACGCTGTTCTTGCTTGCACCTTGCTTGAACGGAAGTTTGACAAAAGTTTTTGATGCAATCATTTAAAAAAAAATAAATCCTTCCTTTTAAACACAAACTGAGAAAAATGTGTTCTATTTATGGAGGCAGATAAAATAATTACAAATAGAGTAAACACTCAGTTTTACAGGGCACGTACCTCAGAGGATGTCCATTCTCTAAAAGACCAACCTCATCATGCACCTACCTCAGAGGATGTCCATTCTCTAAAAGACCAACCACATCATACACTTACCTCAGAGGATGTCCATTCTCTAAAACAGTGGTCCCGAAATGGCGGTCCGTGGACCTTCACCGGTCCGCATGCCTAACGCTGTCGGTCCCCATAACATAAATATTTGTTGTCAAATACTTCAAATAGAAATAAAAGTTTAAAAATAAATCATGCACCGGTCCCTGGTAAAATTTCAAAACTTGTTCACCGGTCCGCCAGACTTAAATGTTTGGGGACCACTGGTCTAAAAGACCAACCACATCATACACGTACCTCAGAGGCTGTCCATTCTCTAAAAGACCAATCACATCATACACATACCTCAGAGGATGTCCATTCTCTAAGAGACCAGCCACATCATACACGTACCTCAGAGGATGTCCATTCTCTAAAAGACCAACCACATCATACACTTACCTCAGAGGATGTCCATTCTCTAAAAGACCAACCACATCATACACATACCTCAGAGGATGTCCATTCTCTAAAAGACCAACCACATCATACACATACCTCAGAGGATGTCCATTCTCTAAAAGACCAACCACATCATACACGTACCTCAGAGGATGTCCATTCTCTAAAAGACCAACCACATCATACACATACCTCAGAGGATGTCCATTCTCTAAAAGACCAACCACATCATACACATACCTCAGAGGATGTCCATTCTCTAAAAGACCAACCACATCATACTTGGGCACAGGACTTGAGCTGACAGGGGGAGAGTCATGGACGGGTTCACCTGCTGCTTTGTCTTTGGCACACTCTGCTTGGATCTCCTCCCCTACCTTTTCCTCTTCCTTTTCACCATTGGAATATTTGCTGACAGGTTCTTTGATATCATTCTTTTCACCTGACGCTGTATTGGAAAGAGCAATAAAGGCTGTAATCCTCTTTCTGAAAGAACTGTCAAATCATTGTCATTGACTTACCGCCATCGATTCGTTGCAAAAGTTAAACTCTATGAAATCTTAAATAGCCCAGCCACAACACATGTTGAAGTTCAATATCCGCCAACATTTGGCGTACGCTATAGATTTCCACCCACAAATAGATTTTAAATTTACCTTTGGCCTCTGATTTCTGGTCAACTTCTTTGTGTTCCTTGAAGCGCTCACTGACCCCCTCTTCATCAGACCCGTGCTCACCATGTTCCTCTGTTTCATGCAAACCTTGGACCAACTTCCTCTTATTTCCTAGATGTGCAACAAACATTTATAACAGCTCTATGATGAACAAAACATTTGTCAAAATATGAACTGATACAGGCTTAAGTATTTCTATCAGTTAAAAAGAGCAAAGTGTCTTGAAATTAGGTTGGAAAACATGAAATTTTAGTGAAACTAGGAGAGTGAAATCAAAATTGCAATAACAATTAAAGCAATTGTCAATTCTTACTAGATTTTGGAGGTTTTTTCTTTAAACGTTTACTCTTAGACTTGAGTTGGCCCAAACGACTTTCATACTGCTTGGCTCTAAGGAGGGCCTGTGTGTACGACTCTAAAAACTTCTGGGGAGAGACCCAACAACTTAGTATCCCATACAAATTGAATTTAATTGGATCCAATAAAATATTGACATAAGAAATCACAGCATGCGTATGATTGTTTTCAAAACAGTTGATGGTTAACTTTAACATAAATGAATTTAAAAAAAATTAAATATGAATGAAGGCTGGAATGTTTACATTGTATACTTTATCTTTTTACACTATGTTATGAACTCACACAATGTAATCATCTAACACAATGTTATAACAACAAACACAATGTAATCATAATTAAAACAACATAATAAATCTATTTGACGCAAATTAACCGTTTTTAAAGCATTTCTACTCAAACAATTTTAGCCAGAGAGTACATTATGTCTGTGAAATGACCAGCTTTAATTTATTAAATGTTATCGGGATCACTTTCACATTTCCAAATCTTTATTGCTTCCTGCTTTCTCAGAGAGAACAAAATTAAATACAGCATCAATTTAATTTCAACTTCTGATTGTTAAAATTATTTTACTTTTTTCATAAATAGAATTATAAAAAAAAAAAAAAAAAAATCTCCAACCTCTTGCTCAGCTTTTCCCGCACCTTGCACCTGAAAACTCCTAGAACATAAAGAAATATCAGATATTTAAAATACTTAGTTGTCACAAGTGTTTAGTTCTTAGTGAAACTATCCTTCACATGTCAAACTGGCCTGATGTTTAAAAGGTATCAAAGCTGGTAGAACTTATACTGTGGCTATTACTTTTCAAGAATGACGACCATTTTCATAAATTAAATAAAAAATAAATTCCTCAATGAAAGGAAAATATATGATTAAGAATTTTAAAAGTAAAATGCAGTTGCATATTTTTAAAATACAATGCCATTCCAAAGGCTGCATCTCTTAGTGTTAGTTCCAGTGAGATATATAATGAGTATTATGTAATTTGAATGAATGTTTAACATTGGAATGATATTTCTTGAAATAAAATATTTTTGGAAACAAAATGCAGGTGTAGATTGTAGAATTTCAATTTGTTCAATTAAATATGGCGGCTGCTGGAAAAAAACAACCCTTTCACAGATCTAAGTAGGGCATATATTGTCTTTTTTAAAAGGTTGATTTTAAGTGAACATTAATTTCTTTTCTCCAAATTATTTACAAAATACTACTTTGGTGACATTTACAGTAGTAATTTGTAAAATATTCATGCCAGATTTAAGATATTTCAAAGATAAAGTCATGTTTTATTGTTGTAAAACATTACATTAAAAAAAATATCTTGTCTTTCCAAATAATGCTTCTCAAAAACCAATACAAAACTTTCTCAATGCTGATTTCTCATAACACCATTGCGGCCTACCATCATAAAAAGTAAACTAATTGTTTAAAAACTATAAAGTCATTTGAAATGTAATAATGCAGTTTAACGTATCTTACATGTAGACTATCACAAATAAATTTCTATCCATTTTTCTCTTATAAGAATATGAGTTTAAATACATCTCTTTTTTAAAGCAAATGAGTAGTTTGAATTATTACTCTATAAAGATGCACAAACTATTATTATATATTGATACAAAAATTAATATTATATAATGATACACACATAATAGTAATGAGTAGCAGGTGTAAATCATAAATGTTTTCATAGCACCTAAAAGAAATGAATGATAAAACAACAGATAAAAATCACAACGAAATATATTTTTTAAAAGACTGCACCTTGAAAGTTTTGAAAAGCCATGATCGAATAAACCGTTACATTATTACAACATTAAAAAATAAAGATAATGACTAAGTCAAAATCTAAACATTTTTACAAGAAGAAAAAAATAATGGATTTTATGAGCTGTAAAACCTCGGAAGAAAGGGAGAAGGGCTGATACAGGACAAAACAATATTACTCTAAGGTAATTAAGCAAAATTATAGGAGATGCATGATAAGAAATGTACAATTTCTCCACTGTAAAGAGTTCATTACAATACTGCCCAGGACTTTTGTTTTAACTCTACACAACCAGTTTTTTTTACAGGAAGGTGCCAAAATTAATTTAACTGCCAAATTCTGATATATGTCATCAAATATTATTATGGGCTTAAAATAAAATCCTTTTTTCAGTAGTGTCCATGAAACTGATGTCTCATTACATACATTACCAAGCTTATTAGAAGTTAAAAATAAACTATTTTCATTAAACCTATTGACATGTCAACTTTATATGTTTTAAATATCATATGTGTGTGATGTGAATTAAGAGAATATTTGAAAGTTTTGTATTTCTTTATGATTGGTTTCAGATGTGTAATTAGATTTCTGTAAAAAATGAACAAACATTTCTTTTAAAAGATGAAACTTACTTTGATCTAGATGGTGTGATAGGAATGCTACCTGCTTTGCTACCTGCTTTGTGCCTGAAGAGGGAAGCATGGAACAAAAATTGTAATTAACTCTCTCCCAGCCAGCGTTAACTGTGTCATGATCAATGAGGGGGCCGCACATTTTCTTGCTAGGCTTACACATCTACAAACAAATACTGTGTGGGCCTTACACACCAACAAACAAACATTATCTTGGCCTACACATCAACAAAAAAATGTTGTCTGGGCCTACACATCAACAAACAAATGATGCCTAGGCCTAGACATCAACAAACAAATGCTGACTTGGCCTACACATTAACAAACAAATTTTGTCTTGGCCTACTAATCAACAAACAAATTTTGTCTTGGCCTACTAATCAACAAACAAATTTTGTCTTGGCCTACTAATCAACAAACAAATGCTGTCCTGGCCTACACATCAACAAACAAATGCTGACTTGGCCTACACATTAACAAACAAATGCTGTCCTGGCCTACACATCAACAAACAAATGATGCCTAGGCCTAGACATCAATGAACAAATGCTGACTTGGCCTACACATTAACAAACAAATTTTGTCCTGGCCTAAACATCAACAAACAAATGCTGTCCTGGCCTACAAATCAACAAACGTCTTGAGAGAATTTCAAGTTTGAAGCTTTGTGTATTATTTCAAAGTTAAGATGATCAAGTATAACATTTTTCTCTTCTAATTCAGATGCATGAAGACATTTCTTTTGATCCCAGTAGGAACAATCTTGAGAAAACAAAACATACATAGTCACAAATTAATTGACAATGTAGTTAAAAAAAATAGTGGACATCTGACCTGTCTCCATAGAGTCTTTGGTGCAGCATTAAATTGTGAGAAGTAGGAAACTGCAAAAAAGATCTGTGGGGATAAAAGGATAATGAGGATATAGAAGATCTGTGGGGGATAAAAGTATAATGAGGATATAGAAAATGTCATTTTGAGTGAAAATGGGGGACAGGAAAACGGGGGGCTGGAGGGAAAAAGAACATTTTTTATTTTTTTTCTTATAGATTCAACAATTCATGGAATATTCCTGACAGACTCATCATAAAGTAAGTTGTTTTTAATGGTTTGTTCTCTCCAACATTAGAGAGTGGGAATTCATTGTCTGACACCAAAGACCGATTAAATAGACTAATCCAGAAAGCTAGTAATATCACACAAACTAAACATCCTTTGCATGAACTATTGGAAGAAAAATGCTGTTTTAAACTAAAAATAATATGTCACACCCTCTTCATCACATATACCTAAGGACAGCTACGTTAGGGCGATTTTTTTCTCTTTAAGTTAGAACAGAAAGATATATTAATTATTTTGTTCCCGAGTTGAAATGAATTTACCAGCGTGATCCCCCAGCGGTTACTAAATCTTAATGATCATTATTTAAGTCATTGTCACTAAGGGAGCTCATTGATGGCTGATTTCTATGCTAAGAGAAATACCTTAGATGTCTTGTGTTTAAATTGTTAGAATTGTAAAATGTTGTCTTGGTTAAAATATGTTCTGAAAATGAATATGTACATTGTAATACAAATTTATTTCCATTTATCTGGATTAATAAAAGAATCTAATCTTATCAAAGTAATTTGTATATATGCTAAGAAAAGTTTTTTTTTGTATCTTTCATAAAGAATGAACTTTTATAAAGTCTATTGAATAAAATCTTAAATACTGTAGATGGGAAATGGTCAGCATATCTATTTCAAGAGCTGCTAGGTGTGCAGTTTAAAATACTGTACAATTTTTAAAGTGTTTACTCAACTTCAAATAAATAAAAATTACAGAATGAATTAAGTGCCTTCCAAAGACATCAAGAAATAGAGCATCAATGTGAGTTCTGTAGTCAATGTCAGTTCTATGGCACAATGGTAACACTATCCAACCCTGTATCAATGTCAGGTCTGTATCACAATGGTAACACTATCCAACCCTGTATCAATATCAGTTCTGTATCACAATGGTAACACTATCCAACCCTGTATCAATGACAGTTCTATGGCACAATGGTAACACTATCCAACCCTGTATCAATGACAGTTCTATGGCACAATGGTAACACTATCCAACCCTGTATCAATGTCAGGTCTGTATCACAATGGTAACACTATCCAACCCTGTATCAATGACAGTTCTATGGCACAATGGTAACACTATCCAACCCTGTATCAATGTCAGTTCTATGGCACAATGGTAACACTATCCAACCCTGTTCAATGTCAGTTCTATGGCACAATGGTAACACTATCCAACCCTGTATCAATGTCAGTTCTATGGCACAATGGTAAAACTATCTTAACCTGTTGTAGTGGGTTTGAATCCATCTCAGACTGTGTGAGTAAAAAGCTAGATGGAATAAACTCATTAGCCAAGGAAAGCAGATGCTCATGAGAAAGAGGAAGTAAAGAAGTTGGCCAGCAACTGACCCGTAAGTCTCCCAGCAACTGACCCGTAAGTCTCCCAGCAACTGACCCGTAAATCTCCCAGCAACTGACCCGTAAGTCTCCCAGCAACTCACCCGTAAGTCTCCCAGCTGTCCGTGGTGGGGAAAATTCGGATCCATCCCCCCTTCCTTGCCTCCTCTTCTCTTACTCGCCTAACAATCTTGATCTCATCACTGCTCAGTCCAGCCATTCCAACTTGATTCATGCGATCCTTGGAGGTGGAACTGGTGGCTGATACAGGACGCTGTGACTGAAAGGGGAAAATGTACAATTCAAATAAATTCTATTTATTAAATGCAGGCTAATTAAGTATTGAAATTTTTCTTTAAGTTATAAAAAAAACAACAAACTCCTCAAGTTACCATTATTAGACTTTTCATATCAGTAGTGATTATAGTCATTGCTATTTTAGATGCCAAAAAAGAGAGTACCTATATATGTATCTATTTTTATTACCTTGTTAGTGAATGTTTACATTAAGCTGTGAGACCAAGTTAGGGGTGTTATTTACGTTTGATGTTATACTAAATTATACTCTACAGAAATGACACAAAAAATATGTATAAGTAATATTTAGACATATTATACTGAATGAAACATTAAAAGCAAAAAAATAGAGATTATTTGAAAAATAAATTATAAATATATTATAAATTATATTATAAAGGTGCATACTTTGAAATTTAGAATTGAAAATTGATCTTCATGCAGTAGGACATTTACATTTTGTTTTTTTAAAGAGAAGTAACAATTTTCATTTTACCAAGGGTGAAATTATTATTTTTAAATGTTATTTTCTCATGCCGATCATTAATTATGAGATTTTAAAAGGTGTACCATCCTAAATCTTGGTGACCTTCTGACAGGCAAGCAGACGCGATGAACCTAAAAAAGTTGAAACAAAAAAACAAACCACAAAACAATTTTAACTTTGAGAACTGAAGACTTACAGCCAGACACAAAATGTCTAAGGAAAATGTAACCCTAGCTTACTGCACAGTCCTGGTTTAAGTTATCTGGATCTCAAATTATTTCTTGGCAAGAAATGTCTCTCAAACTTAAAATATTGATTAAGCAGTGCTGCATTTAAAATAAATTATGAACAGTTTAATTTTGATTTTTCATTACAACAATAATACCAGGAACAGATTAATATCTTGATTGCTCGGAAAATAAAAAAAAACTTATTTTTAGTCTTTACAAAATCTCTGCAATAAGCTAGAGCTGCCTGCAATTGTAAGCGTATTGAATAATGAATATGAACACAAGTTTGGTGTAGGTGTTGACAAAATATACCTCAAGCTCCATAAACTGTAAATATTATGAGAGATAACTCCCACAAAATGTACATATTGTGAGAGATAACTCAATGTGCACAGTAAATAAACCAATGGAAAAATACAGAAACCATAACTGAAATAATCTACCCTTCTCAGAAGCCAGGCATCAGCCTCTTTCATATTTTGTCTGGCCGCTTCTATCTGATTAAGCATCTCGGCTAAAGCTTCATCAATATCACCCTAATCATGTGGTTAGTAAAAAAAACAAAACATTATGACTCTAGATTTATTTTTTAATCAAACAACTGTTTAGATAAAGCTCATGATTAAAGATTTCAAAGAGAAAATTATTTATATTAAATAATAAGAAAGAAAGCAATATGTGATTTTGAAATAAAAGCTGAAAGTGAGCTCAAAAAAAAGTTCAAAGCATCTAAATTTGTTAAAAATCTCTTGACACAATGATATGCTAAAGAAAGTGAAATATTTCTTCATGTGCTACAAGTTCTTCTCAAATAATATCAATTTGAAGGAATGAGAATTCAGCCCCCCCCACCCCCCCAACTGTACATAATAAGTTAATAAGTAGCTCTTAAAATCCTGAGTATAACATAAAATAAAATGAATATGCAATTGTCCACTAAAATCTTGCTATAGATCACTTCACTGGAAACTCATGAGGTAAAAACTTATAGCTCTTTTTAATTTAAATACTAATGTTTTTAGTTTTTATAAGGTCCTGGTTGCTAAAAGTTGGTTTGGATAATGCTTAATTCTATTTATTGTTAGAGGTTACAATACAAAAACAACAAGAAATAAGAGTTTCATTAATAGATTTTCAGAGATTTCAATCAAATATAAAAAAGTTAAATATCTGTTTACTCAAAAAGAATAGAAATTACTATGTCCATAAAAAATATGTTTCAACTAATTATCATTTCATTAAGTTATATATATATATATATATATATATATATATATATATATATATATATATATAATATATGTGTTAAAACTCATGTTTTTTTTTTTTTTTTAAAAAAAAAAAAATAAAAATATATATAAAAAAAATATATTTAAAAAAAATATAATTTTAAAAAAATATATATATATATATATATATATATATATATATATATATATATATATATATATATATAATATATGTGTTAAAACTCATGTTTTTTTTTTATTTATGTCAAATACAACTTTAGAGTGAATTGAATACAATTTAATAGATCATTACTGATTTTTTTGGATTTTTTTTTAAATGCTAAAAATTTTAATGCAATAAGTTTTATTTCTTTTTTGATAAAATGAGTAACTTTTGATGTGGCTTGGTAAATGAAATAGTTATTATTATGTCAGCTTAATTGATATGGGGTATTTCATGGGGTAAAAATACAACAACACATCTATGTTTTGTTATTAGTTGATCACCCTAAGAGGTGCCCATTAAGCTGAGGACAAGTCAATATACTCAGGGGAAATCCTCAGTATTCCACTTACCACCTTTGTTGATGAGGGTCTAGCAGGGGCTGACTGTAAATTAGGGATTTATTTTTTCAAGCAATGCAGAAGTATAATAATATCATTAATTTCCACTACAATTACAGATAAAGAAAAAAAATCCTGGCTAACAGAAATTTTTAAAGAAACAAAAAAACTTAAACAGCTAAAAAAAATACAGTTTGCAATTCAAATGAGGCTTTAAAGGAAAATATGAACATTAAAAATGCTTTGACATAAGCGAGTAAAGAAATATTAAAAAAAGTTTCCAAGATGCCTGATATTGCAGTTATTTGAGTTCTGTCTTTTGTAAAAATTGTAAAATATAATTAAATCAATTATATGAAATTAAGTTTCTAAATATATGAAAAGTAATGCGACACCATTAAAATGCATATACTTTACATTTTCTGTTAAAAAGAATTGAATAATTATCAATATTAGGTCTAGACCTTCTTTGGCAACCTCTAATGTTATGCTTCATTAAAAATTTGGATTTTATTTGGACAATTAAATAGACATTTAAAATATTTCACAGAGTTGTATAAAAAAATTGTTATTATTGAAATGAAATAACTATTATCTCTTCAAAGTTCAATTCAAAATATGATTTATCACAATAATGAAAGCTGTTTTATGTGAATTAATAAATGTGTCAGTGCATTTTCCTTTACTCATGTTTACATTTCTCTGAGAGAAAACTCATCTTGCAAGCTTGGCAAACACGTATAAAAAATGAATAACAGGAATAATATGTATACAGTTAGCTAAGAAAGTTAGAGAACTTGAAACAGTTGAACTTAAATATGCAGCCAAAAACTATTTTACCTTTAATCTGCTTTTTAGTTTGGCTGCTATTTCAGTTGACTGTTTATTTTGTTGTTGACGAGTGCGCATCATAGGATCATGGCAAATGATACCTGTGAATATGGCAAAGAGCGTTCTTGAAGAAACCAATATGGCAAAAGGTGATGGTCAAGCAAAAATGACCTAAAATAGAAACTTGGTACTTGACAGCAGCCCAGTGGCACAGATGAGTACAGAACACCTGCCAACTAGTAGCTTCTTTTAAAGACTTGGCAATAATAGAGACCCAACACCTGTCACCACCGCTCACAACACTGAAAAGATTGGCCCCTCACTGACAGAAACTAGTGTCAACTGCAGACCAACTTAAAGAAGATGATTTATGGCAGAGCCCTGAAGATGAGGCTGACAACTGATTTACTAGCCAGGCCGATGAAGTGGTTTTCCATTTACTAGCATAATATTAAAAAAAAAGATTTTTATTTTAAAATAAAAAATAATACTGAATAACCTGCAAGGCTAAATAGGTCACACAGCATATTTGTTTTAATTTTCAGGTCGAGAGGGCTGTCACTGAAATAAAAAAGAAAACAAAGTATTAAATGAAAAAAATTAAAATTGTGATGTAATTATCTGCTAAAATTTAGTGTGAAATTAAAAACACATTAAAAATTATAGACACCAAATTGTTTTGTACAATCTTTTATTTTTTATACTTAAACCAAATATTAGAAAAAGAAAAAAATGTATTTAAAAACTTGGATTCTCAGGGGTTAAAAGTTAAACAGACATATGGAGGAAGACAATTATTAGTAATTCAAACAGACATTAAGAGGCAGACAATTATTAGTCTTTCAAACAGACATAAAGAGGCAGAAAATTATATATTTATCAAACAGACATACAGAGACAGACTGTTTTAGATGTATCAAATAGATAGACTTTTATAGATGTATGGAAGTAAAAGTGCCTAAGAAACTAACCAAGCAAGTGATGGAGAAAGGTTGACCTCCAGTACCCATGGCTTCAGGTTCTCATCAAGAAGGATATCAAAACCATACAACTCTGGAGGGAGGAATTTATATCATAGGGCATCATGCAACAGTCTTAAGAGCCTTCCTTTTTTTTAAAAAAATCCATCAAATAAAATTCTTTATCTAAATTGTGACAGCGTCAATGATAAAAGTGTTTGACCGCATCAACCACATCAATGATAAAAGTGTTTGACCGCATCAACCACATCAATGATAAAAGTGTTTGACCGCATCAACCACATCAATGATAAAAGTGTTTGACCGCATCAACCACATCAATGATAAAGTGTTTGACCGCATCAACCACATCAATGATAAAGTGTTTGACCGCATCAACCACATCAATGATAAAAGTGTTTGACCGCATCAACCACATCAATGATAAAGTGTTTGACCGCATCCACCACATCAATGATAAAGTGTTTGACCGCATCAACCACATCAATGATAAAAGTGTTTGACCGCATCAACCACATGATTGATAAAAGCAACTTGACTAAATTTACTGAATAATACCGAAACAATTTCCCCGAAAAGACTGGAACATCTTGCAGGCGGTGGCAACAGATGATTCCACGGAGAGTATGGTTTTGATAACGACATCCTCAATTCGCATCATAAGAGCTGTATCAAGAAAAAGATTTGTTTAGGAAAAAGTAAAATAACAAAGATGTAACTAATTAAAAAAGTAAGAGCTGTAATATTCTGAAACAACATTATTTAAATCATACCTGAATTTCTCAAAGTGTAGAAAGCTGTTAGCTGTTTATCCATGAACATTTTAAGTTTAAGACATTTAATGGTTACAATAGAAGTATACCGAGAAGAGAGGTCATAATATTACCTGCTGTATCTTTGCCCTCAGACCGCAAATATCGTAGCATAGCACCCATAGACCACTTATTGCCATAATCTTCAACATCTGGGTCATCATTCCTAAAAATAATAAATTTTTTCAAGTGCCCAGTGTTTTTTAAACTTTATTGCTTAGCACTCAGTTCAAGTTAAAAAATATTTAGCTACAAAAAGCAAAATTGTTTGTTCATGTTAATTTTCATTTAGCGTCACATTATCTTTCATGTTTCAAGTTGATTATATTTATGATCTACTGTCCAGACAATTACAAATCCTAAATAGACCTGTTTACCCTCAAACTCTTAAAATCGTACAATATCATCACAAAATCGTTCAATACATTATCTTAATAGTAAAAAATAAACATACAGTATATATAATGTATGCACCTCAAAATCGTACATTGTACGCCAAAATCGTAAGAGTAAACAGGTCTGCCTAAATAATAGTACCGAGAGGCCAGACAGTTTTGATTGTGGTTACTTAACATAAAATATCTACTAGAGGCCAGCCAATTCACATTATGCGTACTTAACATAATCTTGGCTCCTCTTGTTAACACTGTAGTTTGTTAAGTGCATGCATTGATTTCGCAGGTGTTTGACATTTTTCTCATATTTCACTGTGGCAAATCTGGTCAGGCCTTCCTCATACAGGTAAATCACAAGTGGGTCATACGATGTCACAGTCACATAGAGTCTTACGTCAAATTTAAATCCTGGGGAGGAAATTCTAAAAATTGTACTAAAAGAAAATTAAATACAACATTTGAAAAGAGATTAAACTTACATGTATGTAAAAACAATATACGTTAAATTGCAAGTATTAAACACAACCACTTTGTTCATGACTCGATTCAGATTAAAGACTGCAATGCTACTAAAATTATTAATGCAGTGTAAAGTTTGATCAAATCAATTGATATTGTTGAATACTAACATACTAACCAAACAATGACTTACCATCAATAACTAGCGGAGATGATATATATTTGCTGACAATAACATTTTCATCTAATGGAACTTGATCAGGCTGAAAAAAAAAATTACAAGATGTCTTGAGAATATTTGTTTAAAATTTAAGAAACTCAGATACAAAAAAAAAATGTTTAAAAAAAATTCTGAGACAATATAATAACAGCTTGTTCTTACATGATTAATAAGAAACACCCCCCTCCCACGAGAGGACGCAACTGGCTTCACAATATAGGGTCCTTTGTCCTTCAAAAAACTTGCTGAAATAAAGGAAGAACATTTTTAATAAATAGTTGATGAAAAATAGAATGAATGCGCAGATTTTCATAAATAAAAAAAGGTTTTAAATAAAAGAACATAGGGTCTTTTGATCTAAAAATGACATAAAATATGTGTAATATGCTAAACATATCAACATTGAGGAGATTTAACCTATCCATTCCTACTTACAACAAAAGTCTTGATAATCTCCTGGTAAAACATAGCTTGGGGGAATGAAGTCAAAGTGCTTGTAACCCTAGAAAAATAGTTGAAATCACAGGTTAGTCATTTCCTATTTTAGTTCAAATTTAAAATGAATTAAATTTTTTTTATACTAAATATGATCACATTTTCCATAATTTTAATTTTTTTATTTTCACACATATTTTGCTTTAAATTAGTAACCTAAAGATTTGTCATACATATTTAATTCATATTTGACAGGCTTGGTTAAAAAATAATAATAATAAAGAAGTCCATAATTCCACAATGAAAACAACACCATTATTCCAACATAAATAGAGAAATATAATGAACATAGATAAGGCATAAAGTGGGCTATGAACCTTCACCTTAATTTGCTGCATCCTTTGGATATTTTTGAAGAGTCGATCTTTTCTTGTGAGTTCATAGGATCTGAGTGAACATTAATAATTATTTATTCTTAAAATATTCAACACACTACTGATTTTTTCTTAACCCGTATTTGTCATGCAAAGTTTGCATGTAAACTTCTATTGATGTGAAAACCAATCCCATGGAGTCTCCCCAAAAAGATTGCCCGAATCTAGGTTTCATTAATGACTCAAGACATGTGAGGTGACCAAGTATTATCTACTGCTATTTTTATTCCATATTATGTCTTGGCCTCGCAGGATTTCTTTGAGAAACTTGGGATGCTGGTAACAAGGATAAGACTATTCTTCGGGTTTCTAGGCAATGAATACACTGTAAAGAAACTCTGAATTCCAATCAAATCATACAACTGTTAAGAAAGAATTTCTCTAAAGCTGGGCTTGACCGAAAATTTGGGGTTGGAGCAGACTGGAAAGTTTGGCTTTAATTCACTGTTGGTATTTATGAACATGACACGAGAAATAACACTGGTACAGCTAAAGAAACCTGGCACAGTCCATGTATATATTTACGTAAACTTGTATTTAAAAAAAAATAGAGTATTTCAATGAAAAAATATTAAATTGATCATCCCACCTGGGAAAATGGTTGATTTTCTGAAACTCTGACATAGTTCTTAAAGTAAATGGCTTGAGGTGCGAATTGCTCCATACTAAGTTGTAGTCTATACTGTTTGGGTGGACCTGTAACATGTGATTTAAAAAACTCTATGATGGTGATGACATAGTAATACATTTTGATCTCAAATTTATTTCTGTTACAGAGCACTTTCGTTTAATGTGTAGATTAATACTCATAAAATAAAATAAATAATAAAAATACACACCTCATGAAATCCATGCGATAGTAAAATGTTTCGAACAATCTTGCAGTCAGTTGAGGCAAACTTGAAAGCAAGGTGGTAGCGCTCTGAGGAGAAAGCTAACAATTTTTCAATATTGTCTGTGAAAAATGGTGACCGGCTTTTAGCACTTAATACCGTCTCCTCTATGAACTTAGCACACACAAAACACCAATCATTATTTTTAACATTTTACAGAACTTCAAAAAAAAAAAGATTTTGGAGGACGGCATTTAAAGTTTATTTTGGAAAAAAATTGAAATGAACTCACCGCCAACAGTTTTGAAATCAGTTCTTTTATTAAGAATAGTCTCAGCATTAAACAAGATAATAGGAACTCTTTTACCATAGCCAGTCCACTGGACATTAAGAGCCTTTCCCCTGAAATTATTACATTTGATACAGAATAAATAAGAGGTGCTAATGACATTTAAAGTTATTTTCAAACTTAGCAAAAGAAAACAAAATATTGACAACTTTTATTGGTTTTTTAAAGCCACCCCAGGATGCTTTTTTTTAACAATTTAAAAACTTATTAGACTAGCTCAAAAGCTGAGGAGAATAAGTGCTTAACATAGAGATTTGAATTTCAAACACACTAAAAGCCCTGCAATCTATAATCTTGTATTTTATTTGAATTTATCACATCCCCCACCATCAATAGAATTTTAAAAAAAAAAGAGCAAACTATACATTGTGAATAGTGGTACATAATAAAGAAATATATCAGTAGAAATAAACTACATACTTTGGTTCCAGATGGTCATCTCCATCATCACTTTCATAATCAGAATCATGCTCACTACGTTCCTCATTCTCACTCTGCTCTGATGGTGTCAGTGATCCATTACCATCTGAATCGGCGCCACGAGTGTCTACTGATGCCATTTGATGATTTCGGTCATTGAAACGTGGCTTAGCAAACAAAACAAAAAAAATTCATTTACAGTTAAAAATGTGACATCAGAAATGTGTGGATTTACAAATGCAAGATTAACGGAAATAATACTTATTTTATTATCCTAATCTGGTCACTGGTAAAAAATATAGATTTGCCAACACATGCTTTATGGGCATTCAGTAACTACCACGCCGTTGCACAGGCTCAAGTGTTGGCATCAGACCATAGTGTCAAGGTGGAAAAATGAACAGAGTTCCATTGTAAGTTTTAAAAATAGGTTTCAACAGCACCTAAGACTAGATAACCAGATAATAACTTTTATTAAATGATAGAAAAATAATTTCATTGGTTAGGTAAAAATAAGGAACATGAAATTTTATGCCCACATATCATTAAAATTAAGTGTCACTAAACTATGACTCGTAGTGTCAGTTTATTTTTTGCAAGATTTGATCATCAGGATATTCCTGATACCTTTAGACTTAGAAGTATGTGTACTTTAATAAAACCTAATATTAATAGATAATGTAGTTTAAAAAGAGATAGTTTTGAGTGTAGTGCTCAAAGATGCTCTCTAAACACTTTTCTCTTGCTTAAGATTAGCACTACCTGCCACTTTTAAGTCTTGGGCCCCTCACATCAAAGTTTAAAATTTTCCACATCAAAACTTGGGCCCCTTAAATATCAAAGGCCTCTGCAGTAGCAGGGGTTGCAGGGCCCCTATGCAAAACTAATAGTAATAGTAGCCTATATTTCCATACTATCTAGGCCTAAGTTAAAGGGTAGGTACTTCAATGCAATTATGTGCATGTCAAAAGATGCAAAAAAGTTTGTGGCAATATTAAATTCGGAATTTTTTTTCTCTTTAGCATTTGAGTCACACTTTTCTAATACTAAATTAATTTTGCCATCAATTATGGAAAACATTTGTCTTTCAATGATGCTCATACACTTTACTAAACGAGGTGATGCCCTTTTCTCTTGCTAAGTCACTTTAACCAAACTGTAAGCTATACACCACATAGTCTTAAATACTTTTTTTTGTTCAAGAAAACTCACAAAATTAGTGTTTACCATAAAAATTGTATTAGGAATAATTTTGCAAAGTTGATTTACATGCTCCCTTTGAATGCTACCCCATTCAGTATCTTCATCAAAACCCCCCCCCCCTCCAACACTTTTCACCAGACGAAAAAAAATTTTTTTGCCATTTTTTGTTCTTACTGGGAATATGATCAGCTCTCAATAAAAATTGATAGGAGAGTTTTAATAGTATGTAATCTTTAAATCCCTGACTCTACTGAATGAATCTAAGTAAATTTTAAGTGTAGTTTTTAATTATAGAAAACGATATAATTATAGGTAAGCCTAATTATTAATTATAATAAAAAAATTAAATTTAAATCTATGCTTGCTTCCACCTATTAAAAAATAGTTATGTTATATCCTATGTCTATGTATAGCCTATATTTTATAGGCCTGATATTATTAACATTAGCATTACTAGACTAGACCTAGGCTACACTTTCAATCAAAAATCAATGACTTATTATTATTATAATATTATTAGGCCTGCCAATCCAAAATCATGCAGGTCCAAGCAATCCCAATTAATATTAATATTAATTAATATATCAATAATTAATAATGGCCTTTGAGACTTTTACATAGTATAATTAAAAATAATAAATGAGTCCATTCTTAATACATTAATTAATACTCATTAAATCAATGAGTATGGTTTTTTGTAGCTGAACACGACGTCTAAATTATATTATTTAAAAAAAAAAATATTTTTAATTTTCAATCTACGACTACGCCTACTTTGAAGTTAGTGTTGAAGACTAACGTAATCTTTAATTACAATCTCACTAGAAGAGGTGGTAAATAACAGCGGGAGACTTCTTGTATATATGAGCTAAATAAATTAATTGTTTTTAATAAAAAGTGTAATTTACCATGTGTGTAAATAGTGTTTACATTGTTGTTATGCAAGGATAAAGGAATTCGTCCGCCATCGTGTTCGGGCAAGCTCATTGGCCAATCATATCCAAGTGTAACTCGGCATATAAGGGAGACCACTCTTAATGAAAGTATTTATTTTTAAGCTTTTTTAACGATTAACATTTTGAATTAAAAATATTTGCAAATGAAGCTTCTTCTTTTTTTTTTTTTATATTAAAAAACAGAGATTTTATTAAAAAAAGATAGGATATAAATAAACACAGGTTGGAGGAAAACCTGAAAGAAGATGAAACAATGCAATGAATATGTTGACAAAAAATTCGCTTTTTTCTTCCACTTTTGAATGAATAAAATGAATTAATTAGAAGAAATCCAGCTTTTAAAGTTAAAGCACATAAACAAAGAACATGATAATAATATGGAATTCTAGAATAAATAAAGTGGTCATCTTCAAAAAAAAAAAAACGAAAATAAGACATTTTAATCCTTTCAAATTAAAACTTTTTAAATTAAAATTCCAGTCCAAATCTCTCCAAATTTACCAAAACCATTTAAAATCGTTTATGCCAAAAAATAAGGTATAGTTATTGATCCCCGGGAACAAGTTTCATTTTTACCCCCCCCCCCCACTTTCCTCAACTCACTATTTTCATCGATAAAATAACATCAAAGCCTATTTTGACGCCCCCAGATATTCTGGCACCCGGGACATCTGCCCCCCCCTCCCCCCCTGATACGCCCTTGAACTCTTCTGCCTGTTTATAAGTGTTAAACGTCATTTTGAAAAAAATAATATGGTGATACCAATTTTGAATTAACTACATTTCTTCTAGATGGGCCATATATTTATGCATCGATATCATTTGTAGGCTATGTTACTCAATCTTAAGACAATTTAAAAAAAAAAAAAAATATTACCAGGTATTTTAAATTTTGTCGTCTTAACTGTACTGGTTTCAGCTAATATAGGATATATGGGTTCAAAACCAGTACTATAATGGTAAAAAAAACAACAGTAGGAATGGTCAACTTACTCTAGAAAAAACTGACATTAAAAATCTTGACAAAGGCAAAATCCTGGTCATAGTATCCAAATATAAAACGTAGAGGTGTCTGGTTGTGGATTTTAAATTTTAAAGGTGAGACCATGATCAAGATGATATGTCTGGCAAAGAACATGTCAAAATTTTAGGAGATACAAAAAGAGATTCATTTCAGAAAGCTTTGTTTGACCATTTATTTTCAGGCCTTTGTCTGTTACAATGCGAAGATGGTGTAGACTTAACAGGACAAAATCTCAAGGCCTGGTAGTTTTTTTCTTTAGGATAAGCTGTTTCCCTAACAGCAAATCACCTCTCACCAAGCATCTGGTTAACCAAAGGAACATTATTTGTGGATGATATGATATAGTTTGGTACCAGTAGTGTCGCAGGAGTTTTCTTTGTGTTAATTCCATGTTATAGTGTTGACCTAATTTTGCTTCAATGTACCGCTGTGGCGTCCACCACTTGTCTTCCCCTTTTGTTTTGATATTGACCTCACTGATTGAATGTGTAGCGCTCAACCATCACCCACCTCTAGCCTTTTAAGGAAATGTTTGTTAGAATGCTATCAGATGATGCAATTAGAATTATTTTTTTCTGAAGGGCTTTAACTCCCTGCCTATAAATAAGTCAGCAGAGATTTTTGAAAGATCTCCTACTCCTAGACTTTTACCAGACTTAATATGAATATGCTTATAAAAGTAAGAGCCTTTCAAGATTGTACTCATTTTTGAGTGTGTATATTAATATTTGTCGCTTTCCAGGAATATACATTTTAACTTTCTGTACTGTGAGTTGAAGTTTTTAGTTCTGTGTACTTTATTTTTTTAAAAATTTAATAGCATAAGTATAATTAAATTAAATATTTTTAATAGCTTTGGCATCGTTTTTATTTATATACTGCCACTGGTTTTCAGTCCTATGTTCCATCCATCACTATGATGCTACAGCCCATGTAGGGCTTTGACCTGCCTCATCACTTTCTTCCATTCAGACCTAACTGATGCTTTTCTTTTCCATGTTTGGATTTCCAGCTACTGCAGATTTAGTGCTTTGTTACATATTTTTAATCAAACGAGCCAAATCTTAAAATGGATTAAATTTGCAAAACCATAAAATGATACATAACATACATTAATATGCCATACCACCTACGGCACTCCCTGTCTGCTAAATTTTAACGCTATAGTTAAAAGGTGTAAGAGCAAAAAATGACAACAGTAGGAACAAGAAACATATGATGTGAACTGCCGATATACTCCCCACCTACTTTAATTTTTATTACAATACAATAATATGATCCATGATTGACTAGACAAAAATCGACTTCTTTGTTAGTTTTTATAAATTTAACATGCGTTGTGGTGGCTTTTGTTTTAAAGTTAAAGGAGTAAAATAACCTGTATTTTCTTCAGATTAAAATTATTTCATTTTTAATCATCTTATCCTAGTGAAACTAAGAGTATATTTAATAGCAACAAAGTGTATGCACACAGTCCATATATTAGCACTTGTAGTTTACATTTTAGATCAGTTAACGTGCTGTACAGTGTAACGTAATCAACCAAATGAATTGAAGAAAAAAAATAATGAATGAAGAATAAATATCTGATTCATGGAGAGTTGGACTATTTTTTTTAAAAACCACCTTTGTCTAGAAAAGGAGTAGGAACCTTGTAAAGAAAGCTACAACTACAATATAAAACACCAAAATAACACTGTGCTGCATTGAGAGTTATACAATTTATTTAGTGTCTAAATAGAGGTTGCTTTTCTTTGGAGAGAAGACAACCGAGAAAATAGCCAATAGCTGTTTGGGGGAAATTATTTACAAGATAGATACCGTAATATGACAATTTTAAATCAATACGATACATAGACGGAAACAATAAAACAATATGAAAAGGGCTTGAACAAGTGAAAAAATGGCATTCATAGTAAAAATTAATTATATTAAAAAGAACATGATAATAATAAATTACAGGGTATGTTTAAAATCGATAACAATTTTAATTGATTGGATATGTATACTAAAATAAATTATAAATGAAATGGTACAAGTTTTATCTTTTGTGGGCAATGAGGATCTTTAACTATCATTTGAAAACGCAAAAGAAATTCAATATGCTGAGGCCAAAATCTCTCATTTATCTCAATGTATGGTTGTGCTGGAAAGTTCAGAGATTGCTCAATCAATTTTCCTATAACTGTTCTCAAGGGTAGAAAATTATGCATGTCCAAATCCCTACTATCTTTTATGGCAGTCTTTGAAAGTGTTTCCTCAAGGGTGTGAATATGTTTGGAGGTAGAAAGCATGTGCTTCAGCTTGTTTTTAAATTGTTTATCCATCTCACAAACTATTTTAAACTTTGAATCCATGTCCTTTAGAACTTTTTCAGACGTCATGGTCCTTGTAACAGTGCTTTCTTCTTGTGCAAGACTTGTTAATTTTGTCTGAAAAAATACAAATACTTAAATTCAAAATAATAAAAAATTTAATACCGGTAGTAAAATGTGATAACACATGATATTGGTACCTATAACTATAACATAATATATATGATTGTCTCAAACTCTATAATGCAGTTTAAATGTATTGTAAGAATTATAATATAAACAGGGATTCATTTGTGCCATTGCATGACTTTTAGAGGTCTGCTACCACATTTTGGTTGTGTGCACCCAGCATTTAAATTTAATAGTTTTAAATTGTTTCACATAACAACTTTTGGCCCCTTAAATATCCATGGCCCCCTGCAGGCTTATTTAACATTTAATTAGAGTGAGTTCTAAAAAAAAAAATAAATGTTTGCTATAATTTCATTATCCTGGAGCTGTTTTTATTCAGGTTAAAAAACAACAGAACTTCAACAAAAGTGCAAAAGATTAACCTTAGAAAAACAGAAACATGACTAAATGATCCAAATAAATAATGATAATACCATGCTTCAAGTACAAGAAAAAAAAAACTGGTTAAATATTAAATTCAAAAATTGCTGTCTGTCAAAAAATATACACAGAAAAAAAGGCAATCCAGTTTTCTGAACCTTATGAAAGGGGAAATTAATAATTGAAGTATTTCCCCAATTTTTTTTTACAATTTAAGGCTTGAACCATTATTTTTTTGATGAGTGAATGACCAAAGCTCTCTAACAAAATACTTTATTTTTTATTCCCTTAAAATTAAGTCACTTTTACTAACAGTCTTTTCTTTTTCCACATGCTGTAGAATGACCTTTATGGCTCCAGGCTATGTAAACTCTCTCCTTCCTAATTGTGATATACATCTTATAAAGTACCCTGGTAGATTACTTTTGTTCCCAACATTTCTGATGAAGATTTTTAAATGTGGTCTATTTTATCTTATTAATGCTAATGCTATGAAAATTAGTTGCATAATATCATACCACATCTGAAATAAAAAGATTGAGACTTTCCAGATTCTTGAAACTGAAATAAATTAATATTTTCCCTATGGAAAATGCAAGGAATAAGATTACCAAAAAAACAATGATAAGTTTATTTAAAATACCTTGAATGCATTGTTCATGCTTCGCAATCTTTTATTGATTTCCTCTTCATTTTTCAATGCTGCTTTGATTTCACCATCTTTGGCTAGTAAAAATGTTAGGGTTTCATCCAAGAGTTCTAGAATTTTTATTTGATTCTGTTTAAGAAGAAGTAGCTGCATTTCTTGATCCTCTGGTAGTGTTCTAGGCTCACGTTCCTGAATAACATGACACTCAGCTTTTAGTCTGAAAAAGTAAAATGTTTTATTTTGTTTTACTGGTAGTGCTTAAAATATATTACCAGTTTATCATAAAATATGTCACTTGCTGATCTGAAACTAAAATGTGCAGAGAACATTTATTTACTACTGTATTCCATCTCTAAAACTCAGTTACAGATTATTTATAGGCTTAGTTATAACTAATAGGCCAAGGAATTTTTGATAAAGTTGCATCTCTCTGGAAAATACTAATTTCTACAATACTCATCATTATGAGAGGCCAAAAAAATGGCAATGTTGATAGAAATCAAAATTAAAATATTTTAAAATCATATAAAGGAAAAAACATTAATAATTTTTTTCTTCTTTTTTTATACAGATTTCTTTAGAATTTTAAATAACAATATATTAATTAATTTTAATAAGTTTATACACAATGCAGCAAATTTGTAAAAGGTACCCGGTAACATACTTATACTTATCTAAGTTTATCCATTTAAAATGATTTTTTAATGTTTTTCTTTCCAAAATTGAAATTTCTAATATTTATATATATATATAGATATATATATATATATATATATATATCATTAGGTGGTTTTATATAGCGTAATACCCCATCCTAGGCTCACTGCACTTTAAATAAAAATTAGCAATTACAGAAACATATACATTTAAAAACAAAAATTGATGAAAAGCTTGAGCTCACCCACCCAAGTACTATCTAGCCATGGACAGCACCCATCAGAATCGAGTGTTATTTATCAGTCAGAAGGGGGTGAGAATGAGTCGGTATAGTACAGATTGAAGAGATGGGGCTTGAGAGCAGTTTTGAAGGCAGTAAGATAGGAAGGGCAGGAAACAGAGAAAAAATTGTGACAGAGAACAGACAACTTGTAATCAATGTGTGCCTGTGTAAGGGAGCCAGTGAAGTGAGTGAAGTGATCACGTTTCTTTGCCTTTAGAACTAACCTAGCAGCTGAGTTTTGAACTTTCTGCAATTTTTCTATGAAATGTTTTGGTGAGCCTGACAGAAGAGAGTTATAATAGTCAAGATGAGAGAGAACAAGAGCACGGACTAGTGTTTTTGTTGTGCTAACTGTGAGGTAGTGGCGGATGGAGCTGATTTGATGGATAGCGGTGTACCCAGAGCAACAAATGTGAGGAGAAAGATGATTATTGAGAGACATGTTGCCAGAAAGAATGTAACCAAGATTTCCAGCAGAGGATGTGAACTGTATATCGGAGCTACCCACTTGAAACGAGATGGGGTGAGCTGAATTAGAGGATAATTCATGATTGTGAATGAGGAGTGCCTCTGTTTTGACATCATTCGGCTTCAACTTGCTGAGGGTCATCCATGACTTGACATCACCAATGCACTGTTGCAAGGTGTGGATATCAGAATTTACTAGAGAGAAATGGGTTGGGTATGCTTGTATAGCTGCATGTCATCTGCAAATGACTGGCTCTTAACAGCATGCCTCCTGAGCACATATATATAATATGAATATGGTATTATAAAATGATTACGAAATGTCAACTAATTAACTAAAGCAAGTTATAAAAGCACATAATCAACAATAGTCATATTTTTAATATTATAGTCTCTATTCAATTATAACACACATTTTTAGTTTGGAAGCTTGTACTTGAAAGTAGGTATATATTGTAGAACAATTTTAATTAAAAAAAATTTTTAAGTTAAATTTAATAAAAATGAAAGATTATAAAAACCAGATTTTCAGTGTAGAATTCTCTCCCTTTTTTAAAAAAAAAATTTTGTTACTTTTATATATTTTTTTAATCCTGTGAAGGTAGATGATAAATAAGTTTTCAAGGAAAACAACTATGTATGTGTATATATATGTCAATTTCCCTGCATTTAATAACATATATAATAGCATATATAAAAATTATGAATTTATTATTACAAATGTAAACTACGTATATTAAAAATATTATTAACAAATTAATTTTATGTGCATTGTCAATAGAATTAACAATAATAAAGATCTATTACTTGATTTTGTTGGGAATATCTGAGGGGCTGTTCATTTACATTGTATCCCTAAATGTAGGGATCGAATTCAAGTGGACTACCACTTGAAATAATTTTTTTTAAGGGGAGATGCGGGTGAGAAATTGGCGAAAATGGCAAATTTTGAATAATTTTTCATTATTGTTTATTTGGTTTTATTTACCATTTCTTTATTAAATTTTTATATTTGTTTTTACAAAAGTAAGTTAGAAACTATAATAAATTACAAATTTCCTGACCCTATCTATCAGAAAAAATGTGAAAATTGCACAATTTTTTGTGTTTTTACCCCTTTGTTATGAGTATTTGGAATCGCCCAATCCCTATGTATTTGGTATGGTTGGAAAGATGGTGATTTCCAGATCAAGATAACTATAGCTTACGGTCACAAAGAAAATTACAAAAGCAACCGAACATTTCGATCGCCGGCAATGTCTAGCAAAATTTGGTATTTTCATGTCCTACTTCCTGTATCAGGTGATCTAGCCCTGACCTTTGAATTAAATGAGCATTTTGATTGGTTCCTGTGTAGGAAATCTGTTCGTAATGATCACTTCCGGTATAAACAAAAGGTTGTTGAATTCGTAAGGCCTTGCAATTTCGATATGTAATTTGTCGGTAATAAAAACATGTGAGGAGTTAAAAAACAACTAAATAAGTAAATAACCAAACAAAATGAGTTCGCTTTGATAATTGCAATGATAAACACAATTTTAGTTGTGTTTTAGTTGAGGGAAGGGAGTGACCGCAGATCATCGACACTTCTTGCCGTACATCTAGAGAGATACAATTACAATAAAGTTGCTTGGTTCGCCACGAAATTAACATAGAGGCTGAGCTGAACTTTTTTAGTTAAATATTAATTAATGTTTTATTCCTTTATCGTTTCGATAATTTAACAGATGTGTGTTCGCACTAACTTTTTTTACAGGCTGCCACCTTGGTTGCCATGACACTCTTCTGTCATGGCAACCAAGATGGCTGCTGACAGTGCTGTGACTGTGGGAAACGAGTATGATTTAATAATAATAATAATAATAAAGTTCATTTCAAAAACACGCTTCATCCCCAAAGGCTCGAAGCGCGGTACAAAGTCAACAAAAAATATCTATAATTCACCACATTTAAAACAAACGCAACACTACAAAAACTAATTACAAGCATACAATATCAAAGTCTTTCTAGCCATTTCAACCCGGAACAACACAGCAACACATGGAAAAGAAGGTAGACAATCATTAATCATTGATTAAATGAGTGGCACAGTAGAGTTTACCCTAAAACCCTGTCACTCATGGCTTTTTAAAAAGAAAAATGATTTGATTATGAAATCAGAAGTCTTATTAATTTTAATGAAAAAGGCGTAAAACCTTTTCTCCATTTCGTGAAGATACTGTTCATTTATGTTTTTGACATTTGATTCTAGATCCGAGGCCGAGCCAGTAGACGGAGTCTCAGCGGACACAGCATCTGGCACTTGCAATAACGGCAGTACTGCCACTGGTGGGACACTTCGCATTTCGCTATATATAGACTTTACTGTTTTCCAATCACGTTCACACTGAATCTTAATTTGAGTAGCTAGCTGAAAATCATCAGGCTCTTCCATTTTAGTTAAAGATAAATCCACTACTGTAGGCTTTGTATATTTATTGAGATCGTGATCAACCGCCCAATAGTTTCAAAGAAGTAACAAAATAAAGGACAGTAACTAAGAATATTTTTGTGGTTCATCCTGCTCTTGATAGTAATTTTTTTAAATCGCATTTTAACCTCTACTTCTATTATGTTAACAAAATTTATTAATCAAATTATATTTAAAACCAATGTTCTTAAATGTGCGTTCTTAAATGTACAGATCAATTACTTTTAAGAATAGCGCCAGCAGTGCTTCTCAGAGGTAGGTTGAGGAAAGCCAAGACCACTCACAGATATTATATTATACTAGTTAGAGCTCGCCAAACATTGGCCATGATTGTCGTTGGCAACAGTATCAGTAATGCTTGAACTTCCCATCTTCTCAAGTTACTTGACAAAACATGAACTCAAGTAACGCACATTTAAGAATCCCAATTTTTGCTACACCTCCCCCCCCCCCCCCCCATGCTACGTCACGGCACATTTTTTATTTCACGCCCAGGAACTGTATTAAATATTATGATGTCTCAAACACTTTTAAATCCAATATTTATTACACAATATTTATATTGAGACAAATCTATTTTCCGAAAAGAAAAGAAAATATTACGCACCAAAAGCACTTTTGTTATTTAAAAAAAAAGTCATTTAGCGTAGTTATCGGAATTTATAATTTGCGTGAAATGGAAGCAATCACACCGCAAACAAATTGTATATAAGAATTAATTATAACTTATAAAATTATGTGTGGTTCAACAAGAGGATGATGATGATTACGGTTACCGGAAATTTGAGCGAAAGAAATTTCGTCGACGGTAAATTGATCGACGGAAATTTGATCGAACGAAAATTTGGTCGAATCTTTTTTTCGGTTCACACGTTAAAATTTTCGTCAAATTTCTATTTGAACGCACTATACTATAGAGTAAAACAAAATAATGTGTTCAAAAAGAAATTTGAAGCGGAATTATAATGTAAAAACAGAAAAAAAGTTTCGACCAAATTTCCGTTCGATCAAATTACCGTCGATCAATTTACCGTCGACGAAATTTCTTTCGATCAAATTTCCGGATACGGATGATTACGTACTTTTAAAGCGCTTATGTCTATGCTATTTTAGCATGCCCACAGCGCCCTGGTGTCCTAAAATGTATTTAAAGAAAACATATTTAAACGGTACTTAATAAACGACTTTTTATCATCTTCAATGTCTCTCAAAGATGGGGCAAACTGTTCCACAATTTAGGCGCAATAACTTCAAAAGAGGGCACCCCGTATGACTTCTTTCTGTGTCCATCCACACTGGGAAATCTCAATAAGAACTGTGTTGAAGAGCGCTGGCTCTGTATGGGTACATTTTTGGAAATCAGTTTTTGAAGATCTGCAGATGGAGAGCCTTCTTTGTAGCCATACGTCAGGGACAGACTTTGTAGTCACTGCGCTCACTCACAGGAAGCCAATGGAGATCTCTGACAACTGGGGGGGGGGGGGGGGAAATGTCGTCAGATTTCTTTATATGCGGTACAATGCGTTCTGTAATATTTTGTACCTTCTGGAATCTCCGAATTTTGTTTTGAGGTAAACCCATAAACAACTGTTATAGGGATATAATCTTGATTCGATTAGTCTTAGTGCTACGGCATTGGCTGATCTCTTATTAATTTGAGGACGCATAGCTGACCCAGAGCACGAAGATGACAGAAAGAAGCCTTGGGCACAGAAGTGATATAAGGAATCATTGTTAAGTTTGATGTCAGTGTAGAAGAAGGTCTCTAACAGTGTTGGACAAAGGGATCTCAGAAGCGTTAACTTTTATTGATGTGATTCAGAAGATTGAGATCAGAACCACATATAATTGCCCCAGTCTTATCGTCATTTCATTTAAGTCTGTTTGATGCCATCCATGATTTTACCACAAGACAGCATTACTTGACAACTTGCACAGCAGCAGCACAGTCCAAAGGTTCAGGGCGGAAATTCTTGTACAGTTCCGTGACATCCATAAATAATTTGCGGGATATACCTCAACTTTTAATACTTCTGCCAAGCTGGCTAGTATACACTGAGAATAGGATAGATCCTAAAACTGATCCCTATGGTACGCCGCAAGTAAGTGCAGTGTCCACGGAAGATGCTTGATTCACTACAATACGCTGAGTCCTGTCAGTCAGATAAGAAGGTTTTTTTATATAAACCAGGGAAGTGCGGGTTCAGAGATGACGGCCTCATTCAAGTCTTGTTTGAAGAAGCTCATGGTCAATCACATCAAAAGCTCTACTGAGATCCAACAGGACCATTAGTGTCAGATCGCCGCGGTCAGCACTACAAAAAATATCATTCATGACGCAGAGTAGTGCCGTCTCACAGCTGAGTCCAGGTCGATATGCAGATTGAAACATGTCAAGCAAGTCATAAGTGCTAAGATGCTGCACAAGCTGATGTGATACAGCTCTCTCAAGAATTGTAGATCCAAAGGGCAGGTGGCAGACCGGGCGAAAATTCTTGCTGTCATTTTTTTAAAGCAGAGGCTTAACGACTGCCGCCTTGAAGAGACGGGGGACTGTGGCAGACTGGAGGTTACTCTTCACAATGTTAACCAGTACAGGAAGTAAGACTTCTAGACAGTCCAAAACAATCTTGGTTGGAATGAGTTCGAAAACAGAACATGTAGGTTTAGATGCCGTGATGACACATCCCAACTGTTCTTGGGAAACTAAAAAGAATTCCTCTAGAGCAGGCCTGCAAAACTCAAAATGTAAGGCGGGCCGTAATACTTTATGAAAACTTGTGCGGGGAAAAAGAAAACAGGACAGGACTTGTGCGGGCAAAAAGAAAATCGGACAAGGGAGAAAGCTATTAAGAAAATAATAATAATAAAGAATATTTCGTTACTTCGCGGGCCGCAAAGTGGATGCTGGCGGACCGCATGTGGCCCGTAGGCCGTTTGTTGTGCAGGCCTGCTCTAGAGGGTTGCCTTCAAAGACATTATCCACTGCAGAAAAATCGCAACGTTCATGAAAGCTCTTTCTGGTTGTTTCAATTTTGTCAGTGAAGAACTTGCGCAGTTTACAGATGGCTGTTTAAAAAAGGAAAGCAAAGCATAGTTATATTATATTTACGAATACTGTAAATTGAACACTTTTGGAAGATTTCAATTGTTTCAAATATGTTTCACCTGTATATTGTTATACAGTTTCAATTGATTTCGAGCGGAGGTAGTTTAATAAAGGGCTAGATGTATTTTATTATTGTTCTTTTTTAATTCATCACAGTGAGTAAATTCAAGTTTTATAAAAAAAAATGCGCTCTCAACATGCCTCTGTTGGATGTGTGACACTTGACAGTGTACACCATCCTGTCAAGTTGGATGTGTGACACTTGACAGTGTACACCATCGTCTTGTCATGTTGGATGTGTGACACTTGACAGTGTACACCATCGTCTTGTCATTTTGGATGTGTGACACTTGACAGTGTACACCATCCTGTCATGTTGGATGTGTGACACTTGACAGTGTACACCATCCCGTCGCGCTGACTCTGACAACAGAGTCCAAAATCTTCAGATCTGAAGGCCCTCATCGAAGCCTATCACTATCACATTGGTAGCCATTCAATAACATTCTTGCTTTGTACCAGTTTGAAGGACCATTAAACACAGATAAAAATAGAAACAATTTTTTACTATTGAGCATATTGGCAGTGAGATCTCAAGAATATTCTTAGATTGTGTGCCACCCACCACAGGATGGAGTGGAAGAGATGGTGGAATTCCTCTAAGAGGAATAGTGGAAGGTTACAAAAACAAAGGGAGTGCCTGAACGTTGAACTGTGGTCTATAGACCATGGCAACACATGAATGTGCTCCACTACTTTTGGCTGGATTGCGGCAGCATTAAAAATTCTAGAATTCTGGTACTGGTACCAGAGAGGAAGCCAGTGTGTTTCCATTGCGCCTCAATGAACAACTGGACCAGCAGAGCAAGCAAATCAGAAAAGAAAGTGTATCAAAGGTGGATATTACAGCAAATTCCCCAGGCTATCAGATTTTAGAAGAGGATAACATAGAAGGGATGACACTTGAATACACTGCAACCACGGCCACCGAGGGGGGAGACCTCTGAAAACACCACATCCGTGGTCACAGGGGGAAAGACCTCTGAAAACACCACATCCGTGGTCATAGGGGGAAAGACCTCTGAAAACACCACATCCGTGGTCACCGATGGGGAGAACTCTGAAAACACCACATCCGTGGTCACCGATGGGGAGAACTCTGAAAACACCACATCCGTGGTCACCGATGGGGAGAAGTCTGAAAACACCACATCCGTGGTCACCGATGGGGAGAACTCTGAAAACACCACATCCGTGGTCACCGATGGGGAGACCTCTGGAAACACCACATCCGTGGTCACAGGGGGGGGGAGAACTCTGAAAACACCACATCCGTGGTCACAGTTTTTAGAATTTTTTTTAGTAGTTTACTAACGAGGAAGACGATGACCCACTAGAGTTCTCGTAGGTCACGGCAGTGGGCAGAAGCGTATTCCAACGAAGAGTCTAGTTATGGTAGACATTTTTAGGTTAAAAAATAGACATTTTTTGAAATTTACAATATAAACAATAGACGTGACATAATAACATGCAGTCTCATCAAAGCAGTCATCACCATCCAAACAATCATGGGGTCTACACAACTCATACTGTTCTCAAAAAACATTACAGTTGCAGAAACAAAGAACATCACATACCGTAATTAACATTGTCAACCTATTACAACACAATGTTATATCTCATCCGCCCTACCTATTACAACACAATGTTATATCTCATCCCCCTACCTATTACAACACAATGTTATATCTCATCCACCCTACCTATTACAACACAATGTTATATCTCATCCACCTTACCTATTACAACACAATGTTATATCTCATCCACTCTACCTATTACAACACACTGTTATATCTCATCCACTCTACCTATTACAACACACTGTTATATCTCATCCACTCTACCTATTACAACACAATGTTATATCTCATCCACCT